TTAATTCTGTCTTCGTTTCAACAATATACAGACTGTATAGAATCAAGTAAGTAAGGCTGGAGACAAGGATGACAAATTATATTCTAATCAGAGAAAAAGAAACAAACTTTAATTGGGCGTGGTTTAAACCAAGCCATTCGTAATTACGAACCATAGTTGCCAGGTTGTTTTAAATCAGAAGAGAACGATTATAATTATTTAATAAATAGTTCAATTTTATTTGTTTGAAACTTTAAAAATAACAAAAAAATTAATAATATGTCAAAAATAATTTGATTTAGTTAATTTTCTTACTTTTAATATTAAAAAAATAAGAAAAACAACCCTTTTAGGAAACAATAATAGCATATGGCAACAGCGCGGCATGCAGCCAGATACAAGGGCATGCAGTTTGATCTACTGTGTTCAGTAGCTCCGACACTGTCGTAGGAAAATGTGTATAGTTTTTAAGAAATACATTTTCGCCATTAACTGGAATTTAATGTATTTTAAACAATACTTTTTTATTTGCAGAAATGCAAATTCAATCCCTACCACAGTGGGCGGGGTTTGGCACTTGTTTTATTTAAGTGTATCTATTCGTTTTAATACACACTGTATAAGCGCAATTGAACGCATTCGTCGCCAATGGTATAATTGCCACTGGTATAATTGTTCATCCTTAATAAAAACACAAATAGAAAATGTTAACCAAGTATGGCAAATATCGCCTGGGGAGAAAATTAAGTCCCTAAAATACCATGGCAAATATCACCTAGTGAGAAAAAAATGTCCCTAAAATAGTTCGCATCTATATGAAATGGGAGTTGCGAAATGCGAGTATTTGGCATCTATATAAAACTTAACTACGGTAGGTAACTCGAATTTTGTCGATTTTAACCTACATATAATCTGGAGATAACTTTTACAAGTTTTCCAGTGTTACATTCAATTCTACTTTCTCCCTACTTTATTTCAAACTGGATAACTTAAAATCGATTAAACTCGAGTTACTTAGTTCTTACATTCGGGCAGCGAAATAAACAAAAAAGTTGAGAGCAAATAAAGTATCACCTGATTTCGTTTTCGGCTTAGACGACAACAACTTGTCGATAGAGATTCCGTTGCTGGTTCAAAACCTGACCGACCAGCAGCTGGACGTGGTGCCGGAATTCCGGGCGGATCCGCTAACGGAAATGCAATTAATCGTGACACAGAGATCATTAGACTGCGAACAGTTCGTGTACAGGCGAGCTCAGAAGCTCTGTCACGACTCGAACCTGGAGTTTTTGCACTGCGAAGACTACGACATCAAGATCTTGCACGTAAGTAGAAAGTTATGCGCAACTTAAAAAAAAAAAAAAAACACAGTACACATGGTACAAGAAAACAAGAAATTTTCTATACGCTAAAGAAGTATCGCTAACAAAAGTATAACTTTTAATAATCAGCTGTCAAACGCTTATGTTACAAACGAGTGTTTTTGAGAATAAAGCCGGAAAATGTTAAAAATATCGAAAAAAAAACGTGGCTCGATTTGTTGTGTTGTTGGGTGTATTTCGAGAGGAAATTCTGGGTTGAGTTTTTACCGGTTTTCCAATAAACAGTGTTAATCTGAATGAGGAAATAAATTTCATACAGTCTCTGTGAATATAAATTGTACCTATTAGATACACATTTTAGTAGTGATTAACGTGAAAAGTGTCAGTAAAAATCGTCAAACAAATAAGTCGTCTAAATTTAAACAGCATTTAGCATTATTAAAGCGTTGATTAAGTCTCTACTCAACGGTAAAGTATCATTATATTATGAATTATATATAATATTATGTTGCCATGAATGCGTAGATATATTTTGTTGTTTAAAATGCAGTTGTCGGCGTTTTTTAGAAAACTCAAACATAAAAATGGTTGATTTTAAGGTTGCAAAAATTATTTTTTACTAATTTCTTAAAAATGTCCAAACTTAAATTTAAATTATATTAGGTAAAGTTATCAATAGTTAATTCTGCACCAACAAATGTACTTACCGAATTGGGTCCTTTGGCAAAACATGAAAATGCAACGATTTAGTTCTTGAATTTTATTTACAATTAAAAATACAATAATTCACCATGATCCCTTCGATAAAATACACACACTAACGTAACTATATAAGCATTTAAGCGTTGAGTTTCTTAATCAATGATATAAGGAATAATCAATCGAAATCGAGTACTAAAAAAGTTTTTTAATTTTTTCCTTGCAACGTAAAACACAAATAACGTGCGCGATTTAGCTGTGCAATTGAATGAAATTTGTCGAGTTCTTACTCTGCCTTCTGCCTTCCTCTCTTTCGTGAAAAAACTACCTATTTATTTAAAAATGATGTACAGTTCGTATGCTTTAAATGTATTGTTCTTCTTCTTCTTTAGGTTTAATGGCCTCAGCGTTCTTAAACACTATTTGGCCAGCACACTATATTTTTTAATTTTCTTTACTGATCAAGGGTCTCATTTAAGAAAGTCTAAGTTTAACTCATTCCTTCAATCATTTATCTACTGATGAATTCAATTTTTTATATCACCATGTTAAATTTTCTTTAACCGTGCACCACATGGCTATATGACCAGGATTTCTTCAAATATTTCAATCTTAATTCATCCGTTTCTTTTTTCGAATATTTTCATATATTAATATATTTTTGATTAAAGCCAGTGTATTTATACCCTGGGAATCCGATCTTTTCCATCCTGGGTCGCAAAGTAACTTATATTTCAATTACTTTTTCATAGAGCAATAACGCATTCCACCAGGGACGAAATTAAACTCCTCATGACCTGCTCTTTCAACGAACTTGTAACGAAATGTATTGTTTACAATTCTTAAATTTACGCAATGCTACCAGATGGCGCGCGCGTTGCGAAAACCCGATACTTCTTTAGCGTATGCACTAAAGATTAAAAAATGAAGTGTAATTTTTTTAGATTTGTCCTATAAACGGGTACGTGGTGTGCCAGGCGGCCATAAAGGTGGGCGCGCTGATAAGCGCCGAGCCTTACGGGCGGCCGCAGTACTTCAGCACGCACTGCTTGTTCACGTGGAACATTTGCAGCGATCGGTTCGACGTGATCGATAGCGAGATCGATAAGCTGATTGCGGGCGACCAAGGCTTCAAGGAATCGCCCGAAATCGACATTCCTAGGCCTTTGAGCAGAGACGTGCTAGTGATGAACTTTTGCTACAAGGCGACGAAAACCAAACTCAGGGATTACAATAATTATTACGAAGTTTGCTTGGGGTCCGCCAAACTGGCCGCCATAACTCAACGCGTTTTCGTAATCGAAGAATACTCAAGTGATAGTGATTAAGTAGTTGACGGACGTCATTCATTCATGATTAGGTTCTAGTTTATTTATACGACGATACACTCGGTTTTTATCAGTTTTCATACAGTAATAAGTTCAACTGTGATTTAATGTTGTGAATAATTTAAATAAAAATTAAATTTTATGCTGTCCTCTTTTATTTTTCGCTAATTACATATCATAACTCAACATTTCAAAATAGCAAATAAAAAAAAATCAAAAATAAATATGTAGGTGGGCATTTCATACCAAATTGACTATTTTTTACCTCTTTTTAATTTGACTTTTTTCAATTTTTTTTACTCAACCAAAATAATTATGAATTTAAAAAAAAATTGATTTTTTATTTTTTAAATATCTAACTTTTAAAAAATTGACTTATGCCTACGTTTTTTTTTTTTCAAAATTTCCATTTTCAAATGTAAGTTTCAGAAAATATAAAAGAATTTAACGTTATTTATTAAAAATTCCTGAAAAAGTAATAATTTCTCGATTTCATTTTTAATTTTGTAACTATTTATTATTTTCCAAACGTGCGGGCGCACGTGAAGGCGCACGTGAGGACGCACGTGCGGGCGCACGTGAAGGCGCACGTGAAGGCGCACGTGCGGGCGCACGTGAAGGCGCACGTGCGGGCGCACGTGAAGGCGCACGTGCGGGCGCACGTGAAGGCGCACGTGCGGGCGCACGTGAAGGCGCACGTGAAGGCGCACGTGCGGGCGCACGTGAAGGCGCACGTGCGGGCGCACGTGAAGGCGCACGTGCGGGCGCACGTGCGGGCGCACGTGAAGGCGCACGTGCGGGCGCACGTGAAGGCGCACGTGCGGGCGCACGTGAGGGCGCACGTGCGGGCGCACGTGAGGGCGCACGTGCGGGCGCACGTGCGGGCGCACGTGAAGGCGCACGTGAAGGCGCACGTGCGGGCGCACGTGAGGGCGCACGTGCGGGCGCACGTGATGGCACACGTGAGGGCGCACGTGAGGGCGCACGTGTGGGTTTTATGATTTTATTATGATTTTCTTTTATTCGCAAATGCCTTAAACTAAATTCTTTGGCTGGATTTTGTCTGTAATTTGTTCTAAAATTTAAAAAATTAAAAATACACCTACTTACTATTAAAATTTTAGGAATTAAACGGCGTCATTTTTAAAATATTGCGTTAACCAAAGGATAATTAAAGTTTCATGTATGTTTTGGTACACCAATAGTTTTTTAAAGTCCCATTAACTTATAATATATTAACATATATTTATATGGGTCTTTTATGGTAGTAAAATAAACAAATATTACAATGACATCGAGAAATTATTACGAATTTTTAATAAATAACGTTGAAATCTTTTATATTTTCTGAAACTTACATTTGAAAATGGAAATTTTACATGTATATGAAATGTGCAACTTCTTGATTGCCCCTCGTACAATTAACCTTGAATGCAGTCATTGTGTCGCAGTGTAGCCACTCGGCGGAAAATTCAGGGAGAATTGATTTTGGCGTTCTCCAATATTAAAATTAATACATTTTATTATATAAATATATGTATATTTAAGCTAACCATCTACTGATTGTAGAATGCGGAGAATTTGACAGATATTCCATAGATTTTTGTGTTGAAGGGGAAAAATATACTGTTGGCAACACTGCTTGAACAAAACTTTTTGACAGTTCGATTTTTGTTTGCTGCTAAGTTCACATGAGTTTGTGTTTATAAATAGAAACACCAATAATTGTTGGTGTTTTATTCAATTTAAGTGCTTTATTTAGAATTATTCGGGTGTAATATTTATTGCAAGTATCCACACCCTAAAATGGACAACTTTCAAGCCAAAAAACCGAAAACTGAAGGCGGTGGTAAGTAATGATACGCTATTTTAAAACTTCTTATTGTATTGTTATGGTATTTAGACTAAATAATTTAGTCAAACAATAGATTAATATAAATTTATTAGTAAAATCAAGTAAAATCGGTCTTTTATATAGCAAGCTAACTTCACGGCTGTTATTTCAGTGTTACCAACATTAGTAAATACTATATTGTTGGCATTACGTGCACGTTGTAGTTTTGAGGTTATAATCCACATGTTTTGAAATATCGTGTTAATTTCGTGTAAACAAACGTAAACATGCTGCGGCGACAAGCTCGGTTAAGACGCGAATATCTCTACAGAAAAACCATAGAAGACAGACAAAAATCCATCCAGGATAAGAAGGACAAAATAAAGAAGAGTTTGGACCAAAACATACCGATACACGGTGACTTGCAGAAAAAGGCTCTGCATTATTCGAAGAAAATAGAATGGGAGGACGAGGGTCCCTCAGCGGCGACGCAGCTGGGGGGCGAAAGTGGGGGCGCGTTTGCGAATTCGCAGGACGACGAATACAGATATGCTGGTGTGGAGGACCCGAAGATCGTCATAACGACTTCTCGGGACCCCAGCGCCAAATTAAAGCAGTTTGTGAAAGAAATGCGCCTGATTTTCCCCAACGCGCAGAGGATGAACCGCGGTAACTATGAGATGAAGCAATTAATGCACGCTTGCCGTGCCAACGATGTAACTGACTTCATTGTGGTGCACGAACACAGAGGTATCCCTGACAGTTTGGTGGTCTGCCATTTACCATACGGCCCCACTGCTTACTTTACCATGACGGATGTGGTGATGAGGCACGATATCCCCGATATTACGACAATGTCGGAGCAGTACCCCCATCTGATCTTCCACAACTTCAAAACCCCGCTAGCGGAGAGAACGATGAACATTTTAAAGTACCTTTTCCCCGTACCCAAGGAGGACTCCAAGAGAATCATGACTTTCGCCAATCACGACGATTATATCAGTTTTAGGCACCACAATTTCAAAACTGTCGACAGGCAGGTCGAGTTGAGCGAAGTTGGCCCCCGATTCCAGTTGCGATTGTACGAAATTAAATTGGGGACTTTGGATACAGCCGACTCAGCTAATACTGAATGGGCACTAAGACCATACATGAATACGACCGTTAAAAGGAGGTTTTTCAGTGATGACGACGGCTGGAGGCAAGACGATGACGTGGCTCAAGATTAAACTTATTTACTTTTATAAACTGTATTATTTTTTTTATTAACTAATGTTGAATAAATAAATATTTTTTTTACAGAAGTTTTTGTTGTCTATTTTTTATATGTCAATGGTTATTTCTCTATTTTTTATGTCTATGGTTATTTTTCTAAGATTTATTTGTCTATGGTTATTTCTCTATTTTTTATATGTCTATGGTTATTTATCTATTTTTTATATGTCTATGGTTATTTTTCTATGTTTTAAATGTCTATGGTTATTTCTCTATTTTTATATGTCTATGGTTGTTTCTCTATTTTTTATATGTCTATGGTTATTTATCTATTTTTTATATGTCTATGGTTATTTTTCTATGTTTTATATGTCTATGGTTATTTTTCTATGTTTTATATGTCTATGGTTATTTCTCTATTTTTTATATGTCTATGGTTATTTTTATATGTCTATGGTTAGTTATCTATTTTTTATATGTCTATGGTTATTTCTCTATTTTTTATATGTCTGTGGTTATTTTTCTAAGGTTTTATTATTGTGTTATAACTCCCTTATAATTTATTGTTTTGCCATACTGAGTCCTACTTAAAATATTGGAACTTATTCTTGTGTTTTGCATGTGTATGTTACTCCTTTTTATTAGCAAATTCCGTCATGTTTATCGAAATTTTCGTTCAGTTTAAATAATTAAGCTTTTTTAATTTAATTTCGGAAAATGTTAATTCCTTCTTGATAAAAGGTTTTGCTTAATTTCAAACTAACAGAATATGGCGACACTTTATTTTTACAGTTAACTTGCAATTTTGATTTTTCTTAATGATTTTGGACCAAATTTTTTTTCATAAAAATCACCTTTGGTCATTTTTCGTTCATTTCTCAAAAGTAATTGACATGTTCAAAGCTTTAACTTTTCATTTTATCGCTCGAGTCTCAAACGAATGCTCGTTTATATTCGACCATTTTCTCCACTTATTGCACAATATAGTATTTTCAATGTATGTAGGTAATATTTTCTGATGTCCAAGAATTTTAACGTGCTATTATTGTCATATACTATTTTTTTACACAAACAAACTTTAAGATTTGGAGGTAACTGGAGTTTCACGAAGCGGCAGAGTAAGAAAAAAATCGTCAAAACTTGTGGACTTTGAATCGCCAGACGAAATAGAAAGACAATACACGAAAAGAACACCAAGAAAGTCAGAATCTCACGACACTATCCCCACACCATCACCTGTAAAGAAGACTCCGAAATTTGAAGAAGTACGTTCCTTATAATACCTAATAAGTTGTCAGAGGATGATAATGATGTTACAACACTGATTATAATCAGTGTTGTAACAGTTACATTATTTTCAGTATCTAGCTACAGTTACAGTTACTTACCAACTTTTGTAACTAGATACAGATACAGATACATATTTTATTGCAGTAACTAGTTACAGATACAGTTACCTTCAAAAAGTATCTAGATACTTTAAGATACTTACAAATTATTTTTTGCTTTAAAAAATTTAAAATAGAAATAAAAGGGAATTTTAAATATTAATATTTTATTTAAAATAACTTATTTTTTATAATATTTTTTTTTTAATAAAAAATAGTCGCAGTTTAATTAAAAATGTATCTTTGTATCTTAACACACCTAGTTACTTAGAATTTGTAACTAGTTACAGTTATAGTTACTAGATTGGGATAAGTAACTAGTTACACAAACAGATACATAAAAAGTATCTAGATACTGTATCTAGTTACTTGTAACTAGATACGTTACAACACTGATGATAATCGTATAACAAAATGTAACTTTTAACCGTGTGTCTTTTTTGTTAGACATTTACATCTCCGCCTCCCACAAAAACCCATGAAGAACACTTCGGGATGGAGGGAAGCGACTCCGAGTTCGGCAGCGAGTACGAGCAGCCGACGAACGCGACCGAGTCGAGCATCGACTCGGTCGAGTCGGACAGCGAGTTCGACGAGGCGGAACCCGGCGGCTTCAAGCGCCTCGACGCGGACTCGTCCAAGAAGAAACTCGTCATCAAGGACGGACGGATCGTGAAGCAGGACAAACTGAAAGGTACTGTGGCGGTTAAAGTAGAGGAGCAGTGTTGTTCGCAACGGGTGTGTTTTAGTAACGCCTACTAGAGGCGGCAAAAGCACTCCTACAGGTAGTAAAATTTCGCCAGGTTCCTTGGGGATGTACCAGATCGGGGGGACGATGTACGAGGGCACCAACGTCTCCCCCCCGAGTCCGCGGGGCAAGGAGGGCAGGGGCAGCGGCATTAAACCCATCGATGTCGCCGCCCACCTGAAGCTGCTCGGGGAGAGCCTCACCATCATTGGAGAGAGATTGAAAGAACACGAAGTAAGTTTATACAGGGTGTTATGTAATTAATGTTATATATTAAAATGGGTAGTTCCTTAGGGTCCATAAAGAAGCACCTGAAACTTTTTTTTTCTAAATTCCAAAGTCTAAAAATAATTTATAATAACCTTTATCCTACCAAAAAGTACGCCACTGATCGACTAGGAACTTTAGGCTAATCTGGTGGATTTATTATGTTATGGTTGGTAACAACAGTGTTTCCAAAATCTCTCAAAAAAGTTGACAAACATTGTTTAAATTTAGCTTAATTACAAAAATGACAAAATTAACAATGCAAATTGTCAATTTATCGTTTTTATTAATTGTTGGTTATGTCATTTTTGTACTGAAGGTAAATTCAAACAAAATCTGCCAACTTTTATGACAGAATCTAGTGCATTTCTTTCAAATTTTAGGTTATGTTTTCAAATTGTAAATATCTTAACTAAGGGAAGTGCTTTTGGATTTATTTACACAAATTAAATGATTAAAGTTTAACCTGTGAACTGGTCCCAATTTCATCTGAGTAAACAGAAAGAAAAAAACTGATGAAAAAATTAATTTTGTGGTTATGGATTTTTTAAAATAGGTACTAAATTTTCTAATCATTGCTAAAGCTAATAGCTGGATGAGTTAATAAATACAGAAGGGTATTAGAGCTTTAAGGGCATACAACTTTTGTATTTATTGAGTTTTTATTTATTTTTGGCAAAAAAATGTTTAGTAACAATTTTTTACATCTGGCAACGCGTAGCTACTTTGTTGGTTGGTATCTATGTACTCACAGAATACAAGTGTGCAGAGATAAACTAAGTGTGTAACCAGTGGCGTATCACAAAAAATATAAAAAACTTCTAATGCATATTTTTTCTTTATCTTTGGAAAAATATTTTTTTAAATATTTTTCCTGTATTCCTTATGTCAAAAGGTATTTAGTATATTAATATATAACACTAATTACATAACACCCTGTATTATATTTTTTATTTTTTCTTCTTTTTTCTTTATATTTTTCAGGGCCAGATAGCTGTTTCTGGTAGTTTGTCAGTGCTCCTTGATTCTTTGTTATGCGCACTTGGTCCACTTCTGTGTCTCACGCAGCAGATACCCGAGTTGCAAGAAAATTGTTGCGACCCAACTGAACTTCTAAATACGTTAGATAATGTGGCGTTTATTATGCCTGGTTTGTAAAAAGTGTGTGGAAAATTAAATTATTTAATTTTCTTTTGTTTTTTATTTAACATTTTTTCCTTTTTTGTTTAGCGGTTTGTGGTTTTATATGGTGTTTCTATTTTTTGTCTGGTTTATTTTTTCATAATAAATAAAAACTTTTCTCCAAAAATGAAAATGCCTAATCTCTATATGATAAAAATATATTAAAAATTTGTTAATTTTAAGATTTATATTAAAATCACTACAATGCATTTTCATGCATTAGGTATATCATTGTAGAAGAAAAAAAATCACTTGCTATTTTTTATTTATTTATTTTGGTTTTCAAAAGTGGTAATGTTGTAAATAAAAATATTATAAATAGTTTAAAATCTTTATTATCATCTATAATTTTATAACAGTGTGTTAACAATGCAATATATGATTTCATATTTTTAATCTATTAAAATTATATCATATATTTAGTGTAAAAACCTTTGATACATAAATTGACTTTGCAAAGTTGCAATAAAACCTTTACAACAATTTGATTCGCGTGTATACTACATTATATAACAAAAAACATCCCAACAAATAATAAATAATCACTATAAATTAATTCAAAATATGCATCAACAAATTTCACCACTTGACAAAAAAATAAGTGATTTTAATTTGGTAAATTATATGAACTTTGTACTTTAGCTACCTATAAAAATAAATATCTACCCAATAAAAAACTAAACTTGTATTTTACAAGAAAAATATGCACCCTTTTAATTTGGAAAATAAATGTAAAATTAAGTACATTTACCATGAAAGCTGCTTTAAATAATGCCCAACAACAAAAAATTCAAAATGTTGTTTAAATTTCAACACGCAATAATTTTAATGAATTGAAGTAGTTAGCTAACTAGTTTTATTAAACTTTAAATATTGTAATTATTGATTAAAAAAAGACTAGTACTCACTTCATACAAGCTGTCACGATCCTAAACTATATTTCTTGAATCGGTATTTGTTTATTGATTAAAATCTAGTTGTTTTCCACCGTCATGAAAAAAAATAGTATAAGATTTAGGTACTAAAGCATCGCTACAAGTTATGGTGTCAAAGAGTTGTCGAGGTTTTTTCTGCCTGCGCTATTCGTCGTCGGTGTCCCCTTCGCTAGAATAGTCTTGAACGGGAATTGGACGGGCAAATGGCGCTGACGTCATTTGACTACAAAAAAATCACACAATTTTAGTTTGTGTTTCTCTTAAGCAATATCTTTTATTCCGGGAAAGCCTACGTTTTTGGATTTCAAAAAAAGTTTTAATAAGAAATATATTCTCCGTAAAAGTAAACTCGCAAAAAAAATTGTTAATACAAAAATATTTTGTAGTTATAAAAAACATATTAAAAACTATGAAATTATAAAAAATATTGACAAAATTTTGTAAATTGCAAAAAATTAATACAGAATTTATACAAAATCTTGTAAACCACAAAAAAATTGTAAAATACAAAAATATTTTGTAGTTATACAAAAAACCAAAAAAATGATATTCAAAACTTTGAAATCGTAAAAAATCTTGAAAAATAATAAAAAAATCTTGTAAATTGCAATAAAAATTGTAAAATACAAAAATATTTAATAGTTATACAAAAATCCAAGAAAATAATATTCAAAACTTTGAAATCGTAAAAAATCTTGTAAAATACAAAAATATATTGTAGTTATACAAAAATCCAAGAAAATGGTATTCAAAACTTTGAAATGGTAAAATATCTTAAAAAATTATACAAAATTTATAAAAAATCTTGTAAATCACAAAAATATATTGTAGTTATACAAAAATCCAAGAAAATGGTATTCAAAACTTTGAAATGGTAAAATATCTTTATAAAAATTTATAAAAAATCTTGTAAATCATAAAAAAAATTGTAAAATACAAAAATATTTTGTAGTTATACAAAAATCCAAGAAAATAATATTCAAGATTTTGAAATTGTAATAAATCTTGTAAATTGTAAAAAATAATACAGAATTTATAAAAAATCCTGTAAACCACAAAAAAAATTGCAAAATACAAACATATTTTGCAGTTACACAAAAATCCAAAAAAATTATATTTAAAACTTTGAAATTGTAAAAAATCTTGTAAATTTAAAGAAACCTAAAAAAAAATTGCAAAATACAAACATATTTTGTATTCAAAACATTAAAATTGTAAAAAATCTTGAAAAATAAATTAAAATTTAGTTATTTTTTTTAAATTTATAAAAAATCTTATAAACTACAAAAAAAATTGTAAAATACAAAAATATTTTGTAGTTTTACAAAAAAGCAAAACTTTGAAATCGTAAAAAAACCTAAAAAATTATACAAAATTTATAAAAAATCTTGTAAACCACAAAAAAAGTTGTAAAATACAAAAATATTTTGTAGATATAAAAAAATCCAAGAAAATGATATTCAAAACTTTGAAATTGTAAAAAATCTTGACAAAATGGAAATGCCTAATCTCTATGTGATACAAATATATTAAAAAAGTGGTCAAATTGTTGTTAACAAATTCACTTTTTCCTTTAAACTCAATTTCATTTTAAATTCATATCATTTTTAAGAATATATATATATTTAAGAATCCAGTTTAAGAAATGTTCAGAAAAACAGCACTTTATATTTTTATTTGGATGAATTCATCCCCCCCAGTTTTATATCTAATAGAATGGAATAAAATTTATACTGTTGACGAGAAGAAAACAATAAGGTGAACATATCCAAAATCATTAAAGTTATGTTATTACCTTAATTTGACCTGTGCCTTAAAAACCCTTCAGTACAAATTGTGAGTTGGTTGCATTGAATTGTTTTTCTAATATTACTAAATATTGAAAATAACTGTTTGTTTGTACTTACGATAATCGCCTGTAATGATTTAACCATTCTTCAACCATCTGAGCAACTAGCAAGGGCCGCTTGGTGAGCAGCTGTTGAGCGACCAGAATCCCCCCCTCGGTCTCCAACACGTCGAGCCACTGCCTGAGGATGGCCTCCTCCCTGCCCAGCTAAAAAAAAACACAAACAGGATAAAAGTCTGGGGGACGCAAGCGTGTTGTGTTCCTACCTCGGCCTCGGTCAAGAAGTGCACTGGCAGCAGCTTCCTGTCTCTGTCCATCAGAGGCAGGAAGGTGCTCTGCTCGTGCGCGACGATGTTGGCGTGCGCGGGCGGGGGGCGGGCGTCCAGGCGGCTGTAGGGCTCCGTGGGCACCAGCGCGGAGAAATGCCCGCGCGTGTAGCCCAGAGCCAGAGGCGTGCGCACGCAGAACGACTGCTCCCACAGCAAGGGAAGGTACACGCCTGGTGAAATGAACGATTTCAAAAAAATGTTGTAAATCGTAAAAAAATATAAAAACCCAAAAATATCTTGTAAAATTATAAAAAATCCAAGAAATTGATATTCCAAACTTTGAATTCGTACATTTTTTTTTAAATAATTCACAATTTTATACAAAATCTTCTAAATCGCAAAAAAATGTAAAATACAAAAATATTTTGTCAAATACAAAAATGTTTTGTAAAATACAAAATTATTTTGTAAAATACAAAAATATCTTGTAGAATACAAAAATATCTTTAGTTATAAAAAAATCCACAAAGATGATATTCAAAACTTTGAAATTGTAAAAAATCTTGTAAAATGCAAAAAATGTAAAATACAAAAATATTTTGTAAAATAAAAAATATCTTGTAGTTATAAAAAAACAAGAAAAGTCATTTAAAAATCTTTTAAAAAAACATGTCTTTGACTCAACAGTGTAGGTTATTATATATCTATTGTATTTGTATTAAATTTAAATCGCAAAAAAAATTCCAAGAAAGTGATTTTCAAAACTTTGAAATTGTAAAAAATCTTGAAAATTATAAGAACCTTGAAAATCGCAAAAAAAAATTAAAATACAAACATTTCTTTTAGTTAAAATCCAAGAAAATGAAATTCAAAAGTTCAAAATCGTAAAAAATAATACAAAATTTCATACAAAATCTTGTAAATCACAAACAAATTTAAAGTACAAAAATATCTTGTGGTTATAAAAAAAATCCAAGACAATGATATTCAAAACTTTGAAATTGAAGGTAAGATTATTTATATATAATAAAATTTATTTATATATAATAAAATCCATGAAAAGGATATTGATGATAAGTTTAAAATTGTAAGAAATCTAAAAGAATTATAAAAATCTTGTAAATCGCAAAAAAAAATTAAAATACAAAAATATCTTGGAGAAAATAATTTCCAAAACTTTGAAATTGTAAAAAATCTTGAAAATTATAAGAACCTTAAAATTGCAAAAAATTAAAAAAATCTTGTAAATCGCAAAAAAAATTGTAAAATACAAAAATATTTTGCAAAATAGTTATAGACAAATCCAAGAAAATTATATTCAAAATCGTAAAAAATAATACAAAATTTCATACAAAATCTTGTAAATCACAAACAAATTGTAAAATACAAAAATATCTTGTGGTTATAAAAAAAATCCAAGACGATGATATTCAAAACTTTGAAATTGTAAAAAATCTTGTAAATCGCAAAAAAAAATTACATAAATACATTTTTTTGCGATTTACAAGATTTTTTACAATTTCAAAGTTTTGAATATCATCGTCTTGGATTTTTTTATAACCACAAGATATTTTTGTATTTTACAATTTGTTTGTGATTTACAAGATTTTGTATGAAATTTTGTATTATTTTTTACGATTTTGAATATAATTTTCTTGGATTTGTCTATAACTATTTTGCAAAATATTTTTGTATTTTACATTTTTTTTTGCGATTTACAAGATTTTTTTAATTTTTTGCAATTTTAAGGTTCTTATAATTTTCAAGATATCTTGTAAATCGCAAAAAAAAATTATGAAATACTTTAAATATTTTGTAGTTATAAAAAAATCCAAGAAAATGATATTTAAAACTTTAAAACTGTAAGAAATCTTGAAAAATAATACAAAATTTATACAAAATCTTGTAAACCACAAAAAAATTGAAAAATACAAAAATATTTTGTAGTTATGCAAAAATCCAAGAAAATTATATTGAAAACTTTAAAATCGTAAAAAATGTTTAAAAATAATACAAAATTTCATACAAAATCTTGTAAATCGCAAAAAAATGTAAAATACAAAAATATTTTGTAGTTATACAAAAATCCAAGAAAATAATATTCAAAGCTTTAAAATCGTAAAAAATGTTTAAAAATAATACAAAATTTATAAAAAATCTTGTGAACTACAAAAAAAATTGCAAACCACAAAAAAAAATTGTAAAATACAAAAATATCCAAGAAAATGATATACAAAATTGTAAAAAATCTTGAAAAATCATAAAAACCTTTTAAAACAAAAAAAATCCAAGAAAATTACAAAAAAAAAACACCACAAAACTACAAAAAACAACACAAATAATCTTACCTTCAAATCTGGCGTAGCCCAAAGCCTCTCCACGAAAACTCTTCACGTACTTGACGCCGTAAACTATGATGGGCCTTCGCAGGATGTGAGCCAAAGCGAAAACGTGCAACTGCTCCAAACTGGTGCCCGGCTGGCTGGCGAGCGACACCAGACTCGTCCAATCCTCCTCCCACTGCCCCTCGTCCAGCGAATATTGGAGGAAGGAGGCCTGACTGGCCTCATATTCCTTCCAACGCGGATAAAACCTACACAGATATTTTTCTTTTAATTTCCGCCGAAATTCGATGTTGAATTTTGTTACATTTTTTCGTTATCATCAAAAATTATATCTGTCCTAGTTACTTTAATCAGTCAACTTGTATAAATTACTAAGTATATAATAAGTAAGTTAAGTGTATGTAAATATGCTTTAGTCAATCTAAAACAATGTTGAATTTTGTAAAATTTTTAATATTTACTTTTTCGCTGGTATCAGCCAAAAATAATGTTTGTCCTAGTTATTTAGACTATATAACCATTAAATTTAACCCAAAATGTTGGTATGATCCAGATGTAGATGCCACAATAGTAAGTTAAAAAACTGCATTTTTTTAATTGAGTGTATCTCTATACCATACTTGTAGCCAGGAATTATTAATAATCATGGTTATAAATCGGAATTGCATAATGTTACCACATGGGATGGTTACATCATTGGGGTGTTCAGAATACCATCAAAACTAAATGAAATTGCTAACGGAAGAAAAACTCCTTTAATACTGTTTTCCGGATTAAATTTTGATGCTAGATGTTGGTTAATGCTTGGAGAAGATTCACCAGGTTTGCAAAAAAAGATATTTAATAATTCGTAATTGATCAAAAATGATATTCAAAACTTTGAAATTGTAAAATACAAAAATATTTTGTAAATATAAAACAAATCAATAAAAATCTTGTAAATCAGAAGAAAACTTTTGTAGTTAATAAAAATGCAAGAAAATGATATTCAAAACTTTGAAATTGTAAAAAATCTTGAAAAATAATACAAATTTTATAAAAAAAAATCTTGTAAACCACAAAAAAGTTGTAAAACACAAAAATATTTTTTAGTTATACAAAAACCAAGAAAATGAAATTCAAAACTTTGAAATTGTAAAAAATCTTGCAAAATAATACAAAATTTATCAAAAATCTAGTAAACCACAAAAAAGTTGTAAAACACAAAAAAATTGTTGTTATACAAAAAAATGATATTCAAAACTTTGAAATTGTTAAAAATCTTGAAAAATTTATAAAAAACCTTGTAAACCACAAAAATATAAAAAAAAAATATTTTTTTAGCTATATATTACTCCAAAAAAGGCTACGACGTTTGGATAGCAAATCAAAGAGGTACTGAGTATTCAAGTCACGTTAAATACACCAAAAATGACGGAGAATTTTGGAACTATAGGTAACAAAATTTAATATAGTATATCAAAGAAACAATAAAATACCAAATACTTGTTATAGTTTTCACGAAGTGGGTACCATAGATGTGCCAGCGATTGTTGAGAAAGTTGCTGAAGTATCAGAGCAACCCGGAAATATTATCTACATTGGTCACTCTATGGGAACCACAGCCAGCTATGTGTATTGTTCACTAAACACCACCCTCTGTGCGAAAAATTTAAAGGCTCTGATTTCTCTGGCACCTGTTGCTAACATAAACAACGTCAACATTCCTTTCTTTCATTTGTTGTCGTTTTTTAGAAACCAAATAAAGGTGATGTTTATTTAAAACAATTCTGTTAAATTTAATGAGTATTTTTAGTTTGGTTTAAACTCTTTAGGCGTGTACAGATTTGAGGTAGGATGGATGTTTAGAATTGCATTTACACCCATTATTAATCCTGTAAGTTATATAATATAAGACTAATTAAGTTGATTGAAAATTGAAAAATTATTTAGAGGATTATGCCTATATTCACTGCACAAGGATATGCACCCATCTCAGTTAAAACTATCGCTCACTACGGCCAAATTATTAATAACAAAGGAAACTTTACCCAATACGATTATGGCATGTTGGGGAATTTAAAAAGATACCATTCCCAGGAACCACCAAAATATAATCTTGAAGATATTCCTGTTAATGTGACTTTAATATACGGCAACAAAGATAAGTTGGCTTATAAAACTGTAAGTATTTATTTTAAGAGTAAACCCTACTGATTTAATTTTTTTATTTCAGGATGTTGAAGATCTCTATTCAAATTTACATCCAAACAGAAGAAGCATTATTGAAATACCAAGAAATGGTACTTCTGAAAGTTGGGCTCATCTGGATTTTGTCATAGGTGTCAATATTAAAACAGTTATGTATCCAGAAATCGATGATGTTTTGGATAAAATGAAATAATAATGATAACAAATTTTTGTTAAATTAAATGTAAACCAATTTATGAAATGTTTTGACTTATTTTTCTTAATATCTTTTAAACAAAGCAAGATATCGAAAAAACGCAATAGACAACAATGTACTTATAGACCAAGGAATATAATTTTGTTATTAAAATTAACCAGCGGCGTACTAGGGAAAAGTTCAGTCAGATTTATGATCAGAAAACAATTGTTACCCAGAATAAAAATATTAAAAAAAAAATTCAAGTTCAAGTAAAAAATGCATATCATATTTAAATAATTTATATTTTATACAACAAAAAAAATATAACTTTAACCCTTATCTCAAAGGGAAACTTTGATATTGTAAAAATCTTGAAAAATAATACAAAATTTATAAAAAATCTTGTAAACCACAAAAATATTTTGTATTTATACAAAAATTCAAGAAAATGATATTCAAAACTTGAAATTGTAAAAAATCTTAAAAAATTATAAAATAATAATAATAATAATAATATTTAATAATAAATTTTTTCAAATTGTAAAATATTAGTAAAATAATAAAACCGTAAGTAAAATTATAAAAAAAATTCAATAGAATGATATTCAAAATATTGAAATCTTAAAAAATCTTGAAAAATAATACGTACAAAATCTTGTAAATTACAAAAAATGTAAAATGCAAAAATATCTTGTAGTTTTAAAAAATCCAAGAAAATTGTATTCAAAACTTTTCAAATTAAAAAAATTGTAAAATGCAAAAATATCTTGTTACAAAAAAAATTCATTAAATTGACATTCAAAATTTTGAAATTGTAAAAAATCTTGAAAAATAATAAAAAAATTTATAAAAAACCTTCTTCGATAAACTTTGTCGTCAAAAATCTTGCGAAACATAAAAAATATTGCGAAATCCTGAAAACAAATATGCTAACAAAAGTAAGAATTTTTTTTCAAATTGTAAAATATTAGTAAAATAATAAATTCGTAAATAAAATTATAAAAAAATCCAATAGAATGATATTCAAAACGTTGAAATCTTAAAAAATCTTGAAAAATAATACGAACAAAATTTTAAATGTAAAAAAATTGTAAAATGCAAAAATATCTTATAGTTGCAAAAAATTACAAGAAAATTATATTCAAAACTTTGAAATTGTAAAAATCTTAAAAAATATAAAAAAAATTATAAAAAACCTTTTTCGATAAACTTTGTCGTCAAAAATCTTGCAAAATATTAAAAATATTGCGAAATCCAAAAAAAAATTATATGCCAACAGTAAAAACATTTTTTTCAAATTGTGAAATATTATTAAATAATATAAAAATAATACAAAAATTCGTACAAAATCTTGTAAATCACAAAAAAAAAATTTAAATGTAAAAAAATTGTAAAATGCAAAAATATCTTGTAGTTGCAAAAAATTACATGAAAATTATATTCAAAACTTTGAAATTGTAAAAATCTTGAAAAATAAAAAAAAAATTGATAAAAAACCTTTTTCGATAAACTTTGTTGTCAAAAATCTTGCAAAATATTAAAAATATTGCGAAATCCAAAAAAAAATTATATGCCAACAAAAGTAAAAACATTTTTTTTAAATTGTGAAATATTATTAAATAATATAAAAATAATACAAACATTCGTACAAAATCTTGTAAATCACAAAAAAAAAATTTTAATGTTTAATATTTATTTAATATAAAAAAAATTGATAAAAAACCTTTTTCGATAAACTTTGTCGTCAAAAATCTTGCAAAATATTAAAAATATTGCGAAATCCAAAAAAAAATTATATGCCAACAAAAGTAAAAACATTTTTTTTAAATTGTGAAATATTATTAAATAATATAAAAATAATACAAACATTCGTACAAAATCTTGTAAATCACAAAAAAAAAAAATTTAATGTAAAAAAATTGTAAAATGCAAAAATATCTTGTAGTTGCAAAAAATTACAAGAAAATTATATTCGAAACTTTGAAATTGTAAAAATCTTAAAAAATATAAAAAAAATTATAAAAAACCTTTTTCGATAAACTTTGTCGTCAAAAATCTTGCAAAATATTAAAAATATTGCGAAATCCAAAAAAAAAAATATATGCCTACAAAAGTAAAAACATTTTTTTCAAATTGTGAAATATTATTAAATAATATAAAAATAATACAAAAATTCGTACAAAATCTTGTAAATCACAAAAAAAAAATTTTAATGTAAAAAAATTGTAAAATGCAAAAATATCTTGTAGTTGCAAAAAAATACAAGAAAATTATATTCGAAACTTTGAAATTGTAAAAATCTTGAAAAATAGTAAAAAAATGTATAAAAAACCTTTTTCGATAAACTTTGTCGTCAAAAATCTTGCGAAACATAAAAAATATTGCGAAATCCTGAACAAAACTAAGAAATTTTTTTTCAAATTTTAAATTAAAATGATATTCAAAACGTTGAAATCTTAAAAAATCTTCAAAAATAATACGAAAATTCAAAAAAAATCTTGTAAATCACAAAAAAAATTAAAATGTAAATAAATTGTTAAATGCAAAAATATCTTGTAGTTACAAAAAAATTCAAGAAAATGATATTCAAAACTTTGCAATTGTAAAAAATCTTGAAAAAATAACAAAACCGCCGTCAAAAATCTTGCAAAATATAAAATATTGCGAAAAAAATTATATGCCAACAAAGTAAAATTTTTTTTTCAAATTTTAAGTGTAAAGTAATATAAAAATAATACAAAAAATCGTAAAAAATCTTGTAAATCACAAAAAAATTGAAATGTAAAAAATTGTTAAATGCAAAAATATCTTGTAGTTACAAAAAAGTTCAAGAAAATGATATTTAAAACTTTGAAATTGTAAAAAATCTTGAAAAATAGTAAAAAAATTTATAAAAAACCTTTTTCGATAAACTAAATTTTGCGAAACAAAAAATATTTCGAAATACGAAAAAAGAAATTATATGCAACAAAAGTAAAAATATTTTTTTTAAATTGTAAAAATTATGTAAAACAGAAAAATCGTAAATAATCGTAAAAAGTGTGAAAAAATAAAAAAAATTGTAAAAAAAAACCAAAAAAAACCTTAAGAAATCAACATTTTGAATGTCAGTCTAAAGCGAGAGAAGGATATAATAATAAATAAACAAATGAACTTACACGTGGCCGCCTTGACTGAGACTCTCTGCGAGCGCCCTGCGCAGCGCGTTGTCGCGATCGAAGACGCCCCACGTCGCCTGCATGACGGAATCGAGCAGGCAATCGCCCGACGACCGGTTCCACAGGGCGTACAGCCGCGAACCGAGCCGCACCGTCAGCTCCAACGACCAGTTGATCACCGCCGGATCGGACTCGAGCTGCTCCTGCGCGTCCTTGTCGAGCAGCTCGGCGAACAGCTGCTCCTGCACCTGCCCCGGCAGCTCCTCGCATTCTAAGGGAAGAGGAGCAAGAAGATCGCGAATAACTCGACAACGGTGCGTATTACGACCATAAATGTTAAGTAATGAATTGTAGAGGAGACAATCCTCTACAAAAAAGGTTCGGAGGTACTTTTTCGTAAAAGCGCCAATTCGCGAGATAAAGCGCCCGAAAGAATCGCGAGCACTGCATTACTCATTCCAACACTCCCAAACTTTTAGAGCGTTGTATCTCACGAATGGTCATTCTGACGAAAAAGTACCCCCGGACCTTTTTTGTAGAGAATTGACTCAGCTACAATTCGTTACTCAACATTCATTGCCGTAAAGTCCACCGTTCTCGAGTTATTCCAATTCTAAAGAATAGAGAAAGAATTTCTCGAACGAATCGCCGAACTAAGTTTTTTTGCAAATAACTCCATAACGGTGGACTTTATGACAATGACCGCCAAGTAATGAATTGTAGCCGAGATAATTCTCTACAAAAAATGTTCGGAGGTACTTTTTCGTAAGAGCGCCAATTCGCGAGATAAATCGCTCGATAGAATCGAGAGCGCTGCATTACTCATTCTAACACTCCCAAACTTTTAGAGCGTTGTATCTCACGAATGGAAAAAGTACCTCTGGACTTTTTCTGTAGAGAATTTACTCAGCTACAATTCATTACTCAACCTTCATTGTCGTCAAGTCCACCGTTTTCGAGTCCTTACAATTCTAAAGAATTCGTAATAACTTTTCCTCGACGTTACCGATTTTATTTATCTAAACTGTGTTTAATTTGTTATTTTGTTGGTTTTTTATTAGTTACCTGCTGGTAGAGCGAATGTGGGGAAATCGGCCACGTAGTTGCACGGAAAGTTGCCCTTTCTCTGCCTTATTGTGGAGGCAAAGTATCTCCTAATATCCCTGGCCAGTTCTGGCGCCACATAACTTGGCACTCTTTTGATCCCGGAACCGGAACCCTCTATTTGCGTTAGCAGTATCGCTAGCAGGTCTTCCCTTTGAAATCTGAAAATTTTCTCGGATTATTCGCGCCGGAAGAGACTCTCGAAGCCGTTACCTTATGGCCAAGTGCACTAGGGTGTGTCCTACGTCGAAGGCGGAACTTCTGTTGAGGATCGCGACCTCGGAGGCGGTGAGGGTGCGGGCGGGGTCTCCGCCCGAGGAAAGGTACGCCTCCACCGGACTAGGGTCGCCGTCTATGACCCCCAAGCAGGCGTTCAGCCAGTTCCAGTCGGCCGTGCGGCGCAGGTGGCGCAGCTTGCGCTCGGTGTCCATGTTGTTCGGACTCGGCTGCCCGGAGTCTAAACAATTAAGCCTGATCTATAGATTGCCTTCCTTCCTTTCTTTCTCCCGTAAAAGATGAACAATACGAAAACCGTCCGTACGGAAATCTATAAACGGCACTACGGTTTTCGTATTGTTCATCTTTTACGGGAGGAAGGAAGGAAGGAAGGAACGCAATCTATAAATCAGGCTTTACATCGTCACACCGCTGACTAAGGTTTTCATGGAACGCCGTTTTACTATTTAATAACATAGCCCAAATGGTTATGTTAAATAGTAAGACAGCACTCGCCAATTTGATTTATTTTATCTTTAATAGTTATCAAACATTTAATAACTTGCAATTGTGCTATATGAAAAGAGGTAAAGCTTTTATGGAGAAAAGTCACATACAGACTGTATAGAATCAAGTAAGTAAGGCTGGAGACAAGGATGACAAATTATATTCTGATCAGAGAAAAAGAAACAAACTTTAATTGGGCTATGTTTAAACCAAGCCATTCGTAATTTCGAACCATAGTTGCCAGGTTGTTTTAAATGAAAAGAGAACGATTATAATTATTTAATAAATAGTTCAATTTTATTTGTTTGAAACTTTAAAAATAACAAAAAAATTAATAATATGTGTGTTAACACAATAGTATCTAAGAAAGTTAACCGTAAGTTAAACTTAACCAACGATTGAAAAACCGGCCCTTAGTTAATTTTCTTACTTTTAATATTAAAAAATAAGAAAAACAACCCTTTTAGGAGACAATAATAGCATATGGCAACAGCGCGGCATGCAGCCAGATACAAGGGCATACAGTGGGCGGGGTTTGGCACTTGTTTTATTTAAGTGTATCTATTCGTTTTAATACACACTGTATTATACATAGTGGCATAATTATGTTATTCTATCCTGTTATATTTTTATTGACTTATATACAAATTTTAAGAGAAAACAAGACTTTCAAAACCCTTATTTTTACTTATTAAAACTTTTTCATAGAAAAAAATTCACAAGGGCATTTTCCCAATAATGGGTAAAAATTGCACTAAAAAATATTAAAAATCGCGAAGCGTGTTGTTGTTAATATTATTAAATTTATCCAGCCGTTTTCTTCTGAACTAAAAACCCTTAAAACAGTATAAAGCAAAAATAAAACCACTAAAAATTATAAAAAAAACACCCATTTAATATTCCAAAACTTGCTCTTACCCAATATATGTTCTTTTAACCTATCGTCGTGGCTGGAATTGGTTTCTGGAAATCGTTCAGGAGAACGTGACGCTTGTGATCGTTGATTGTTGTTTACGCCGCTACCACACATCGCGCATTTTGTAGATTTCGGCCAATTTTCGTAAGTACACATCTAAAAATTCACAATAATAATTCACATTCCCCTAGAAAAAAAAAACTAAAAAAATTATGGCAGTTTTGCCACAATCCACAACGTTTGAAGCGATTTTTAATCTGTAAACAACATAAAAATGGCCGCCGTTAGAGTCTGTGCAGTGGGTTGCCTAATATCGTGATTTTAGTATGCGCGAAACGAGATAGAACAGACCTTGTTCTGTGTTTTGTAGTTTTTGCTAACTTTATTGTGGTAAAATCATAGATCATACAAGGGGAATGGATGGATAAAGCATATAGAGGACGTACGTGTATTATTGGGGCCTAGATAGACAACGTACTTTTATTATCTGTCTTCTTTTGTGCCACGTGTTTCCTATACCTTTATCTCTCTTACAAGGACGTAAATGAAATTAGTTACAGAATGAAATTGGCTACAAAACGTTGTCAATAATAAGTGAGGTTAAAATTAATGGTTATTTTTTCTATGATTGCTACTGTGTTTTGTGAACATTTTATGATTTTAATTTAGTGGCCTGGAAATAGACAAATTCTTTTTGTATGTGTTTTGTATAGTAAGTGAACATTTATTAAAAATGGGTAAAAAGTGCATTGTTTGTGGTGCTAAACCGGCCGAAAACATCTTTTTGTCTTTTCATTTGTAAGTATACACACAATATGATTTCGTTAAACTAATTGCAATAACGCCATCACAGAAATACAATATCCTCCATTTCGACTTCTGGTAATTATTACAAGTTGTCAAATTTAAATATGTGGTTATCGTACAACTGGCAGTTGTTCATTTTACTTATTTGATTATGCTATTACAATTAGGGTAATGATATGTAAAGGGTGTTATTTAATTGTGGGGCCATAGCATAGGATATCGTACCATTAAAATAAACCTGTAATGTAATTACATAAAAAAATCCGACAAATAGTTTTCGAGTTATAAGTAGGGATTTAAAAATTTAACTCAATTTTACTTTTTTAATTTTTTTAATGGATTGTGGCTATGATGATCTAAAGTTTGGGTTTCCTGACAGAAACAGTTAAACACGTTAACTGTCACTAAATGCTTGATAAATTGAAAACAAGTATACTTGTCGGATTATTTTTTAAATTACATTAATGGTAAGTACGATATTCTAAGCTATGGCCCCACAATTACATAATGCCCTGTATACAATAAATCATAGAGGTATGTTTGTAGCCCTGTTCTACTTATATAAACAGGCCAAATATTTCATGTTATAACATATTAACCAAAATTAATTATTTTTAGGTTTCCTTCAGATGAAAACCGTTGTGTTGCCTGGAAAAAATCTTTGGGTTTTACATGGGTTAATCCATATGATGTAGTTTGTTCAAAACATTTTAATGAAAGTGATTATGAAACTCTTTCATTGTCAAAAAAGAAGTTAAAGTTATCAGCCATACCTTTAAAGAAATTGGAGGAAAAGTCAGGTAAAACCTACTTTTAGTATTATTTTGTTTACATGTTATTTACACATTTTTATATATAAATTAGATGTGAAGGAGTTTGTTGCTAAGACATTTGAACAACCAGGAACTTCTAAAGTTCAAGAAAAAGATGAATCTATGATCATTGTATCTAGTGACTCAGCAGGTGCAAGAAAAGGTAATAGTATATATTTTATAATAAATATTATTAAAAATATTTATAAAGATTTTTTTAATGTAGGTAAAATAGTTTGTTTGAAAATGGATCATGAAAACAAGACTCTTGAACAACCTGGAACTTCGTCTAGTATTCAGGAAATGGATAAATCCATGATAATTGATGTTGCAAGTCCAAAAAAAGGTAAAAATATATTTTATTATTAATGACAAAATAAGTATTTATAAAGTATTTTTTTTAGACAATGTTAGATATATTGGTGAATTAGAAGAAAGGCATTTTAGTTCTCCAAGGAAACGCAAAAAAAATATAAATTTTATGAAAAACACTGTTGAGGGTTACAGAAAAAAAATTAAATTTCTACAAAAGAAGACAAAAAGATTGGAACAAAAAATTACCAATTTCACTGAATTAATTGACGAATTGAAGGCACTTAATATGCTATCAGAAGAAGCATCGAACCACTTATTGGTTAGCTTAATTGATTAATTTAATTTTTAAAATTTATAAATATTTAAATGTTGTAATTATTGAATTTATATAAATTATATAATTATATATATGCTTAATTATTAATTATATAATTATATATATGCTTATTTATAAGATCTAAGTATATTTAACTACATTTTTATTATAATTTTTTAGATAGGTCACTCTTAATAATATCTTAATTATAGTACAAAAGGTGGGAAATTTCCCGGGAATTTTACCGTTATCGAATTTTCCGGGGAATTTTCGTTCTATAATCTTAATCTTAATATAATTTTTATTATATTTAATTGCAGGATTCTGCACCAGAATCAATAAAGGAAGTTCTTAATAGGCAAATAAAATCTAAAACATCAAAATATACACCTGAATTAAGATCATTTGCATTGACGCTACATTTTTATTCGCCAAAAGGATATAATTTTGTGAGGGAAAAATTTAAAGGCATGCTACCACACCCGAGCTCAATTAAGAAATGGTATTCTGTTGTAAATGGAGAACCTGGATTTACGTCAGAAGCATTTGACTCTATTAAAGAAAAGGTGTCTAAAGGGGAAGTTGTTATTGTTAATCTTATTGTAGATGAAATGAGTATTAGACAGCATATATCATTTGATGGAAAAAAATATGTTGGATTAGTGGACCTTGGAAGAAACTTTTCCAGTGATGCTGATTCAGTTCCAGAAGCAACACATGCCTTGGTATTTATGCTTAACAGTGTAAATTCCCATTGGAAAGTTCCAGTTGCGTACTTTTTTATAAAATCTTTAACTGGGGAAGAACGATCAAACCTTTTAAAAACGTGTTTGGAAATGATTCATTCCACTGGTGCAGAATGTAGGAGCATCACATTTGATGGGGCATACACAAATACAGCTATGATAAAACATTTAGGAGCCAATATTGATATTAACAAACTGGAGCCATGGATTCAACATCCAGTAACTTTGGAAAAAGTGTTTGTATTTTTAGATCCCTGTCACATGCTCAAATTGTGCAGAAATACTCTTGGAGATCGCAAAGAAATCAGAAATTCTACAAATAATCCAATTAAATGGGATTTTCTTGTAAATTTGCAACATATACAAGAAACCGAAGGCCTTTACATTAGTAAAATTACCAAAAGACACATTAATTTTCAAAATGAAAAAATGAATGTGAGATTAGCTGCTCAAACCTTAAGCGAAAGCACTTCAAAGGCTTTAGAATATTTATTGTTAAATAATCCTAAATTTAAAGAGTGTGCAGCTACATCAGAGTTTTGCCTTAATATAAATAATATATTTGATATTCTAAATTCCAGAAATAGATTTTCCAAAAAAAAAATGAATAGACCTTTTTCCATCTATACCATTGATTTTTTTAAAGAACATATTACTAGGTATATAGATTATTTAAAAAACTTAAAAGAAATTAATGGAGCACTATTAGTTAAAAGTAACAGAAAAATAGGCTTCCTAGGATTCATTATTTGTTTAAAAAATATATTAAACTTGTATGAAGAATATATTGTTACTAAAAAAATGTCATATATTTTAAGTTATAAAATAAACCAGGATCCTTTGGAAACCTTTTTTTCTGCAATAAGAAGCAGGGGTGGATTTAATAACAACCCTTCAACAATGCAATTTCAATCTGCCTACAAGCGACTACTAGTGCGCCATGAAATTTCAACAGCTGGTAATTGCATTTCAAATATACCTATTTTATCAAAATCGAAAAGAGAAATTTCTGACAAAATAGTTAATGACTTAGAAGTGGAAGACGTTGATGTTGAAGATCATGATTATTGTGTTTCTAATAGTAATATATCCCAATATGTTGAAAATGTTTTGGAATATATGGCAGGGTATGTTGTTAAAAAAATTTTGGATATAATAGAATGTTTCATCTGCAAAATGGAACTTTTAGCAGAAACCGACAATTATGTCTTAATAAATATTAAAAGTAAGGGCGGGCTTGTAAGTCCAAATGTTGATGTGGTAAAAATATTATATAAATTAGAGCAAACTTTAAGGGAAAAAAAAAATTTGACCTTACAAAAAAAAATGTATATGAATACATTAAGCTAAAAATATTAAAAGATTTAAATGTTTTTAATAGTGACATTATGGTTGAACATATAAAATCACAAGATATTTTTGACAATCATAAAATACAAGTCATTAATCTAATTTGTGATATTTATTTAAAGGCTCGATTACATCATGAGGGAAAAGTGTTCACTCAAAAGTTAACAAAGGATAGGATTCGTAATAAATTTAACAAATTGATATTGTTTAAAAATCAGTAAATCGTGTTTCTATATAAATATATTCTTAACAATTTTGCTCCGTGAAAAAAAAAATATAAAAACTTATCTCGTCAATTTTTCTTACCACTAAATGCCATTTTAATATTACATTTCAGGAAGCAAAACTTGTTATAAAATGTACTTTTTAAAGTTTCCTCTATTGGTATTACTAATTAGTATTTGATTTATATCTAGGGTCCTAAAATTTAGGAGATGTATAATATTATGAGGGTAGTTTAGGACTTTTTCATGTTAACATTTTTTCACCAAAAATAAGCTTAACTTTTTATTTGACTATTTCCCTCGTCTTAATTTCCACCAATCACAAACGCGCAATTTTGAATTACAAATGGTTTCTAGGTGGAAAAACTGTATGACAGCACCTGTCAGCAGTTTATTCGACCTTATGTTCTGTGTATTCGACTTTACCCGCGGCAAAACTTGACAGCTGTTGTCACCAAAAATTACAATACCTTTGACAATTAAGTTTGTAGTATTTTGTGATTAAATAAATTACCTATTTTTCAGTTTTCAAATTAATACCTACATATTTATTATGTATGTATAATAGGTAGTATGTTTTGTAAGCTACATGTATGCAGAATAACTGTTACTTATGAAATAATCTTGTCAAATACCATTCGGGCATCTAATTTTTCCTGTGAAAAAAATCGAAAAAACACAATGCAAAGTAATATTTTTTAACAAAATGCATTCGTACAGGTGCAACCAGCACTCATGCTTCTTGTTAAAATATTACTTAGCAACGTGTTTTTTCGATTTTTTTCACAGGAAAAATTAGATGCCTTTATGATATTACTTACGACATGACATGTGTTTGTATTCAGAATTGTATTTTAAATCGAAATATAAAAATGTTGGTAGTTCTATTAAAAAACAAAAGTTTTGCTCATTTCTGGTGAAAGTTCCAAGAAAACTACATCAAAAAGTCCTAAATTACACTTCATATGGGTCACCCAACTTTCATGACCCTACATAAATAAAATACACAAAAGTTAAAGGGGACCACCTTTGAAAGATACTGTTTTAGTTAAAATGAGTTGTTTTTTAAAGTTGTTTTATGTTGTCTGTTGTAGATACTACACACTAAGCTTTAATAGTTATTTTTGTGTTTTTATTTCAGAAATGTAGGATTATATCCTTAAATATTATTAAAAATATGCTTTTAACTATCTATCTGTTTATAAGTTTGTTAGTTTATCTTTTGTTATGATATTATTGAAAATAAAGTATTTAAATATTTTTCTTAAGTTTTTTTTTACCTATAGTTATATCACAGAGATTATATAAAGTTAATTATGTACTAGGGTAAGTTTTTTATTTTATTTGCGTCCTGAATAAAAAAAAACGATTCTAAAAAATACGTCAATTCAAATAAAAAAATTAAATGAGTAAATTTAATATCGCAATTTTTCGACCGTCATAACTAGGAGCCCTGTATATTTTTTGACATTATTTAATAAGATTTATTATACTAAATTCGTACCCCAGAGCCAAACTGTACTTTTAAAAAAATCACATTCTACATTTCTTTGCCTACATTTTTGCACTCTTTAGGTATCTTTCCAATGGTAAATAGGATTAAATCCTAAATAGCTTACTTAGTTTTTCGATGTTTTATAAACTTTAATTACAAATGTTTTGTTTGATATTTTTGTAAAATCAATTTACTATAGAAAGCACTCAGTAAATAAATAACTTATTTTAAATTCAAGTCTTGAATCGATCATGTTTTCTTTCTATATTATTTTATTCTCTAAGAAATTTGGTAAATACATAAACAATTCTATTTGTTTAGTTTTAATGTAATTTGTTATCAGTCATCAATCCATAAAGAGCTCATTTTTCTTTAAAGCGTATTTATTTTAAATTAAAAGTTCGAACACAAAACAGCAAAAATTACAGCCGATTTAAATCCACACCGCAAACGCAACCTCATAATTTACTTTTTTATAAAATACATGGTTTTTTAACATATTTAAACCCATTATAACAAAACAAACATGTTTAAAACCATGATCATAAGAATAACAACACAGAACAAACAAAATTTTGAGGTTAAGTTTTGTACTGTCAAATTTTCTTTCTTTGGGATGGATTAAATTGTAAGACATCGGTCTTGAAAGAGAGAGAGATATATTCGATTTACGTGATTTAGAGTGAAAGCAAAGATTTTCGTTATAGAAAAAGAATGCTCATATAAATTGAGGTCTTGTAAGAGAGATAGCTATATTTGGTTTACGGAGTGTAAAAGAAGAGCATAGATTTTCGTAAGTCTTTGATATGATGGAGACAAATGCGACGTGTTCTTTATCCATCCATTCCCCTTGTATGATCCATAGAAATAACACTGTTATTTCTATGGTATGATCTATGGGTAAAATTTATTAAAAATCTTTTTGCGTTTGCAACAATGCACCGTCGATAAAGTAGAACCCTTTAATGTAGATAAGTTAGGTTAAAAAGAAGAACTGTCACGTTGTTATTGAAATCTAGAAAGTTTTAAAATTAATAATTCAGTTTTGTTAAAGACAACAATAAGTACATTATATAAATTTTATTTTTGTAATCTCAGGCGGGCTTCGTCATTGTCTGAACACAATTCCGCGCGGGTTTAGAGATATAAAATTTTTAAATAGAAATAAATTTAAAAAAGAAATTTTTCACTTTCTATAAACCTGGAACCTTACACAGTAAATGATTTTATACAATATGGTCAATTCTCATATAACTTGTTCCGATGCTGTATCCACTTATTTTTGTGAAAACTAATTCTCGCTCAAGGTTTTTTTTAGTGTAATAAGCATGTAGCATTTCAAGGTAATGGGAACTTAAATTATGACAACCCTAATCTATTAATTTTTTCCTAAAATGCAGGCTTTATGTTGCAAATGTCACATAAGTTACCGGTCACCAACTGCAATATCCTAACATCGATGAATATTTCAACAAAATGACCGTTCAAACAACTAATGTTAGTGCTTGATTAACTAAAAATAGACTTAAGATTGACAAAAAATTATTTTATCCGAAATCGGCAGTAAAGTAGTCAACAATCGTAAATTAAAATAAATCGGCAGTAAAGTTCTACTTTACTGCCGATTTCGGATAAAAGAATTTTTCGTCAATCTTAATTAAGTCTATTTTGAGTTAATCAAGCACTAACATTAGTTGTTTCAACAGCCATTTTGTTAAAATATTCATCAATGTTAGGATATTGCAGTTGGTGACCGGTAACTTATGTGACATTTGCAACATAAAGCCTGCATTTTAGGAAAAAATTAATAGATTAGGGTTGTCATAATTTAAGTTCCCATTACCTTAAAATGCTACTTGCTCATTACACTAAAAAAAACCTTGAGCGAGAATTAGTTTTCACAAAAATAAGTGGATACAGCATCGAAACAAGTTATATGAGAATTTACCATATAATAGAAAATTTTAAGTAACTTTATATTGATTTTTGAGATTAACGTTTTTTATATTATATTTCTTTGTATATTTCCTTATACTATGTACCTAGATGTTTTATAAAATATTATTATAAAATATATTTACTATTATTAGTGCAAAAACGCATGGGAACATTTTATATACAAGGCGTCCCTGAAATTTCTGTACAAACGATTTATTTTTATTTTCATTTTGTCCACATGTAAAAAATTTTGTTATAAAATACTTTTTTGGTTTGGTTAAAGTTTTTGTCATATTTATAAATCAAATTAAAATTTTATTAAAATCATGAAATATATTTGTAGTACTTACAGTGCAAATCCATTTTCCATTTTGAGACGTCCTTTTAGAATTTTCCATATTAGTTAAACTGGCAGGAGGGCTGCTATTCCTAATTAAGCTTTGAGCTAAATCTGAGTGTTGTGATATCCTAAGGGGTTGTATATGTTCGTGAAGATCATTTGGGGGCACTAAAACAACATTTTTAAATATAGGTATACTCATGTAACTTGTACTTTTTTTTAAAAATTAATAACAATTTGTTTTATGGGTAATAAATAATCATCATTATTTTGTTAATAATAATAAAATAAAATTATAGCAAAAAAACGTGTTTTTAACAAAAAATTTTTTTTTATATAAACAGGCACGATTTTTGTCCAATTTTAATGAAATGTTCAATATTTGTAGTTTCATCAACCTACTATTGTGTTAAAATGTCAACGCAATTGAATTTGTGGGTAAAAGTCAAAAAAAGCAATTTTAAAACATATTTGCATTAATTCTGGAAATACAAAATATGTATATTTATGTGTTTTCAAACAAAAAACAATGACATTGTTTAACAATTGTAAAAAAATGATTTTTTTGTGGAAATATTAAATAAATAAACATGTATTAATCACTGCTGTTCACAAGGAGCAGAATTTACTGGAATAATTATGTTAAATTTTAACAATTTTTAAATCATGTAAATTCCATAAAAATTGGACAAAGATTGTGTTACAGCACTTTGATTTATGAAAATTGCGGTTAACATTAATTAACAAGGATCCTTTGATAAAAAAACAAAACAAAACTACCTAATTAGAAATTAAAACATTAAACTTTCACCACAAAAAAAAAACAAAAAAACTTACAAGGTCCTGCAGCTGTGCCGATATTAGAGAATTTGTCGTTAATATTAAACTTATCACCTTGTATTCGATATATGTCTTCGCTAACAAATGGTCTGGAGCCTCGACACATGGTGCACTTTATTGAAGACGGGAAATTCTCATATGTACAATACTCACAAGTCCATTTAGCTTCACTTTCACTCATTTTAAAGTAGTCTTCTTGGCCTGAATAGAGAAAACAGGCTCAAATTCTATACACAAACGTTTTGTCATGAGTTTTTCATATTTATTTTTATGTTTATTTAGGTGAAATCGGCTTAAAACACACCAACAGCCATGATTACTTCATACCTAAAACAAATACACACACTGAAATCACTTTGGATCACCAATGTAAATAGTTAATTTGTCCAAAGGCAATTTTGGCAGCTCTTCCAAAGGATTTTTTGTTGCAATGCCAATGTCATGTCTATTATTATGCATTGGCAAAACTTGAATTGAATGCAACCGATTCAACCAATGTTTTGTAAATATATAAATGATATATAAATGGCTAATTTCATCAACACAGTTTTTTCCCTATTATTTAATATATATTTTGTCAACATCCAAAAGCTGTTTTTCTGTTAAAAAACGTTGTTATCTTACGTGAAATTGCCCCAAATAACAAAACATTCGACACGGAAGTGATCCCGTATCGTTTCTGGAGAAATTCGGTCTCACCTTCAACAATAGGGTCAGAAAAAATGTTATTGTAGTGAAGGCACAGTGTGTAACGCTCTTAATACGACTAAAAACAAACAATTTAGATACCATTTGCATGCCAATCGAATCGTCGAACGTCAAAACGAAAGTAAAATTTACTAAACGTCAAAATATTGCTGTTTTGACAAATTCATCACTATATTTAGTTTTTTAATCGGCCGGTAAAAAAGATTACAGCGACCGTTTTGTGCAACCGAACGAGTCGTTCAAATTTAACCTAATAGATGGCACTCCACTAACATATTCAAATATTAAATGTATTCTAATATATTTGGGTATAAAATTTATACCCAAATATATTAGAATACATTTTATATTATATATATTTATACTATAAATATATCCAAAGATGGATATATTCAAAGACTAATATCATTTATATTCAGGAAAAACTAAAAGTAAACTTGGGTATGTAAACAAAATACGTTTTTGTAATCTAGGATGTGTTTTTCTCCATTAAATTCTGTTAACATTCTTTATGGTATAGGTACATAATTTATTGGAAATGTTATTAATGCTTTCTAACTAAATCATTAATAAGTTCACGTTGTTAAAAACAATTTAATAGTTTTTATAATAAAATCTTTTTTAAGAGAAAAAACAAGGTCTGGATAATGGGAAAAAACGTTTATGCACACATCTTTCATGGTAATTTCTTCTAAATTCGCTCCTTCTAGCAGGTTTTTGATGTAGGCTTTAATCTCATCATCAGTGGGTGGTTTTTTACCCTTAGCCTTCTTGGCCAAAGGTTCATTTTTAGAAGAGCTATCACTTTCATCTTCCCCTTCATTGGTTGAATTCTTGGGGTTTTTTGCCTTCCTATTGGGAGCTTTTTTGCCTGAACCAGATGCCCTGCCCTTTCCCTTTGGCTTGTTATTTACTGGACAAGATTCTTCGTGCTTGCTTACTTGAAGTTCTGTACCAAATTCTTTGCATCCCAATTCTTTAAAACGGCAGGGATATTTTAAATTGTAAGTTAAACCTTCTATTATATAATTTCTTGATTTTGCCCACTGAGCATCACATGTGGGACATTTCTGTACTTTGTCATGACACAAAATACAGATGCTGTGTCCACTTGAACACTGATAAATTGGTGGTCTCATTGTGTTAAAACAGACAGGACATTCCAGTAGTTTTAATGTTTTTTCATCAATACCACTTGGATTTAAATTAAATTCATTGACTATTGTATTGTTTTCATCTGCAAGATGTTTTAATAAATCCATATCTACAATGGTTGCATTGGGATTTTTATGCAGGTTTGATTCACTATAAATACTATTTAACTTGGTAAGGGTGCCTACAGTTGTTGAACTGTTCTGTGTTTCTTTACTTTTGTGTTTTACCGAATACTCAACATTTTCTTTACATTGAAAGATGGGATTCATAGCATAGTAAAACTTATTATCGACAATTGAAGTTTTTAGAAGACAGCTTTTGTAGTCACCAATCAATAATTTTATGTTATATGTTTCAGATAAGGAGGTCTCAACTTTAAAAATGTTATTTTCACTTTTTATTACATGCTCTGTGTGTTCTGTTGAAATATGTTCGGATATTTCTAAATTATTTCCATTCCATTTGCAATCATCATACATCAGCATCGGACAAGGTTTCACTTTGTATTCACAAACATTGATGTGCCTTTCATAATTTTTACATGTCAGTTTTTTAATGCAGCCCTTAAATTCGTACTTGCACGGCAAAATAAGCTGCGACATGACAAAAATAAGAGCGGAATTTAACTCTGCTCTCGATTTATCTTCGCACTGTTCATAGCATTTCGAACACACATTCCCTTTACCGATTATTAAAAATATATCGGAAATGCAGAGCTCATCGCAAATCTTGCAGTTAAAGATTTTCTCTTTTAACAGGTTGTCGTTTAAATTGGTTGAAACGTCGGTCGCCATTTAGTCTATAAAGAAAATAATAAAATGTTAATTATTGAGGTTAGAAATTAAGGGGATTCCCCAATTTCTTACAATACAACTTTTGGTTATAATTCACATGTTATCTTAAATTAAAATCTATCAACATGCCTATTAACGACCAACAAATAATAAAACAAAACTTTGACACTAACCTGGAGGAATTTAACTTAAAAACTTGCGAATAACAATTACTCTAAGAACTCAACAAACAGGTAGGTAAGCCATAAAATAAACAATTTGTTAACCGGCAACGTCCATGATAATACATACAACGTTGCCAAATTGTTAGCATCCGCGCTGTTGCCAAATCATGTCAAAAGTATGGTGTTTAGAGAAACTTAAGAAATAGTAAAAGAAGGATATCTGTTTTTAACTCATATACTTTAAATTGTTATACAGGGTGATTCGTTTATAGCATACTTTATAAAAACTTTTTAACATAGATGGGTGGCCTTTTTTATACCCTTAAAAAAAACCCTTAAAAATAATGATGCATATCCTTTTTCTATGATGCATACAACCTTCCTTTTTCTATGATGCTAACTAGATGGCGCACCATGCCAACTTTGTCAGTGTTGTAAGACTTACCGTAAATAAAAAAATTATTCAAATATATTTGGGTATAAATAAATCCAAATACTGATATATTCATAGACAAGTAAAGTTATATGGGTATGTAAACAAAATACGATTGTAAGTAATCTGGGTTGCTGGGTTTCATCATAGTATCAATCACTTTGTTAATTACCTAGGTACCTACTAGTCTAGTAGTAGGCTACTACCATAGAACAAACCTACTATGCTACAAGTTAATATTATACAAGTTGCAATATACCCCATGAAAAATGTTTAAAAGTTAAAAAGTGTTTTCACTTGAACACTCGATATATTTTAAATAGGTACTTTATATTATTGTTAAACTGAAAATGTGACAGAATGCTATGTTCAAAAGAAAAGTAAAACGCTTCAAATTAACGTATTTTTTTTAATTTTTTAGATTTATTAATACAAATTTATAGAAAATTAAACTTAACATTGGATTCCTAAACTATTTTGAACATTAAAAAGTTTATTGACGTTGTTTTTTTTTTAAATCAAGAAAGTTTAACTTTACTGGTTTATAGACCTATAGGCAGGCAAAACTGACACTTTTTTCGCCTAGACCAGTAATCTAACAGCTGTCAAACTATTCTTTTGTAGCTAAAAACTTGATGATTCTGATTGAAAATAAATTTGTATACATTACCCCATAAACTATCTGATCTCTCGACTAGTAATGAAAGACTTTCCATCTCGCATAATATACTTTTATAATATAATACTATAATAATAATAATACCAATTGGTACTATTTGGAATGTTAAATCACTGTTTGTAATTTGTACTGTTCATCTGTGCTTTTTCAATTTGGTGCTGGGTTAACATGCTATTAACTTTAAAAGGGTGTTTTTGTATGAAACTATAATAACTTATTTATTTTGCTGTCTGCAGAATCATAAAATAAAAATGCCTAAGGAAGTTTCAAGTAGACACAGAAACCGTCTTCTGCAAAAGATGGTGAACACGACCATATCAGAAATAAATAAAGAAGCAATGCGACTACCTCGTCGCTATCCTCTGAGATATTTTCGAGAAACACCGTTTCAAATGAAGATCGTTCTGAGAGTGATTCCTTATCTTCTAATAATGAACAACCAGATTTGTTAGACATACCGAATAATTGGATTAGTTCAGATGACGATTATGATATGCATGATGGTATGTTTTTCTGCTCCTTTAATATTTTAATCTATTATATTGAACCATAGATTTCCTAGGAGAAGACAATGGTTCAACTAATATTTTAGATGACGTTATGCAGGAAACCGAGGAGACCGCTGGTTTGACACTTACTGAAAAATTATGTACTTGGGCTACAGAAGAAAATATTTGCCAGACTAAATTAAAAAAATTATTGGATATTCTTAAAGCAGAGACGGACTTAGAAGCCTTTAAGGATCTTCCCAAAGATCCTCGAACATTGCTACAAACGCCAAGGAAAAGTTTGGTGAAAACACTGGATAATGGAAATTTTCATTATTTTGGCATAACAAATTCCTTGAATAATTTTCTTCGACAATGTAATTATGTCGTTTCGAAGAAAGACAAAATTGAATTAATAGTAAACATTGACGGTTTGCCTTTAAATTTAAGTTCAACAAGTTCATTGTGGCCGATTTTGATAAGAGTGGATTCACTTGAAAAACTGAAAAATTATGTTGTTATGGTGGGTGCTTCCATGGATATGCTAAACCCTCATCCTCAAATAATTATTTAAAAGAATTTATCAATGAGTGTTCTGAATTAACAACTAATGGCATTTTAATACAAAATAACAATCTCGAATTCCGTGTCAAAATGTTCGTATGTGATGTACCGGCAAAATCTTTTATTTTGAATCTAAAAGGACACACATCTGAAAATGGTTGCACAAAATGCCATGAAGCAAGTAAAAGAGTTAATTACGTAATGTGTTATGAAAATATTGAAAACCTTCAGCTACGAACAGATGCCGAGTTTAGATTAAATCTTGACCAAAATCATCACGTCGGAAGTACCTTGCTGATGGAGTTACCAAAATTTGATCTGATAAAAGACATCCCCTTAGACTACATGCATTTGGTATGTTTGGGTGTAGTAAAAAGGTTAATTTGCAACAAAACTTTTGGCTGGGTCTCGGGAAAACGCCCTTTTAAATTATCAGCAACACATATACAACAAATCTCCCAGCATATAACTCTAATTCGGCAATTTATTCCAGTTGAATTTTCTCATAGAAAATGTCGAGGACTTGATAATTGTGCTCGCTTTAATGCCGCTGAATTCCGACTTTTGTTGCTCTATACAGGCCCTGTAGTTTTTAAAAACTTTCTTAAAGCTGATTTTTACTACAATTTCCTCTGTCTTCATGTTGCTATAAGGATTCTTTGCAATGTCGACCTTTCAAATGACCCAAAATTCGTAGAATATGCACGAGAACTGATTAAGTCTTTCGTGAAAAATTCCGGAAAAATTTACGGTCCTGATTTCGTCTCCTTTAATGTACATGGTCTCTTACATTTGGTTAACGATGTTGAAAGATTTGGTACACTCGATAATTTCTCAGCATTTCCCTTCGAAAACCACATGCAGAGCATTAAAAAAATGATAAGAAAAAGTGAAAAGCCTCTTCAGCAAATTATTAATCGTGTATCAGAGAGTGTTTCTACAAGAATATATCTTTCTAATGAAGAAAAGATTTCTTTTTTGCATCAACACACAGGCGGTCCCTTGTTGGACAGGTGCTGCTCACCTCAGTATAAATGCCTTAAAATTAAATCTTTAACGTTCAAAGTGAATGAAGCTGACTGTTTTGCAATTTTAGAAAACAATAGTATTATTAAAATCATAAATTTTGCTACATTGGATAATGAAGTTTGCGCTCTAGGACAAGCATTTAGAAGGACGTCGCCGTTCTTTAACAAACCATGTTCGTCAGAAGAGCTACAAATATTTTTAATTAATAATGACTTGAGCCCATTAAAAGTATATTGTTTATCAAAAATCAAAAATAAAATGATTGTCTTACCATACGTCGATGAGCAATTCGTAACTTTTCCCTTGTTACATGTTACCGCCTAAAATCAGTTTCTAATTTTACTAATTTTCTGCTGCAGCGTAAAAAAATATTTAAAATCTTAGACTGGTTACACAACAATGTGGAGTGTCGTGTATTTTGTCGATGATGAAACATTTGAGGTGGTTCCCAACTTTTGGGTTGCCAAGGAGGATGATCGCTGTTCCTTTCCACATTATCAGGCATACAAATTGTATGAGACGATAAGAAAACGCAAAAGCCCGGAAACTAACTGGAATATTTATAAAATCCAGCATCTTGCTACTTACAGTAAGTGATTAATATTAAAAAAATTCATTTAATTGCATTATTGTGTGTTTTAGGTGATTTTAATGTTGCTCAAGATCAATGCGACAATGCAAGAAATGGTAAAGAGTTAATGGCCGAAGAAATTGAGAAGGTTGAGGAAAAACCTAAGGGCAAAGGTTATCGGAAGCGGCTGTGTAATAAAAATTTAACAGATTTTACTGTGCTAAATAGTACAGAAGACGAAGAAGAAGATTTTAGTTTAAAATTACCTTCTTTAAACAGAAAGGGTTAGAATATGCTATGTTTGCATATGCTTTGCATTAATATTACCTTTTTTTTGCGCTGTTGTACAATATTTGTACAACAGCGCGAAAGAAAAGTAGTAATAATAATAAGAATAATTATTGTTCTGTTACTTTTTAGTTAATAAAGACGATGCAAAAACCATTGGTTCCAGTGCGGAAACCATTCTCTCGAAAATCGATTTTGGCCTAGGCTCGCAAACCATGGCTCCTGCCAGTACAAAAATCATTGCTGTGAGGGAACACCACAATAAACAGGAAGAATGTCCTATTGAAATTACTGGGATAGAGAATTTAAATTCCTTACAATACGAGCAGGATACCCTAGAGTTAATAAAAAAAAAAATTGATGAAATGGATGCCAAAAATGAAGGTAATATTAATAATTTGAAATTTGACATCGTTTTAGTGAATTGTTTTTATTATAGAATTTCAAAGAAGAGTATTTAGAATTCTGTTTACTATTGAAAAAAAATTAAATGATCTGGAGAAAACTGCAATCGCGAATCCTCAAAGAGCCGATGTATCAGCCAATGATGAACCAGATGATTTTAGAGAAATTTGTGAACTGTTTCCAATTGACTCTCCTGAAAAGTTGCAGGTCATTGAAGAGTCTCTTGAGGATGCAAATTTGCGAACGAAATTGGTAAGAAAAATAAATTATTTAAGAGCACTTAAAACTTGACATTTCAATTTAACATTCTAGGCCAAAAGATTCTCCATGGTTGGTGGTGAGGCACCGAAAGAAGTAACCAGATCAGTTCTGTACCTAATGGTTACCAACAAATTGGCCGCACAGTACAGTTTTGATGGAGGAAGAGGAAAACTAAAATTTAAAAATTTAAAACTGTTCCAGTTACTGTTAGGTAATTTTAAAAGTTACAATAAAACTTTATCTAAAGTACAGTAAATTTTCAGATTCTGTAAGAGCAAATACCAAAACGAAGGAGGCAACAACTGCTGATATATTAAAGGAGCTAAGGCAATGGTTAGCTCAAGCTCCGTTCAGGAAAAATGAAAAATAATTTTATAGAAAATTAGAATGAATCGGAAGCATTGTTCCAAAAAATTGTTTTTTTTTTGTTAAACATGTAATTTATTTTTGTTACCTACATTTATATTTTTATATAAATAAATTATTTTTAGAAAATTTTAATTTTTATGTTAATTAATTCCAATATTTAATAAACATTAGTAATATCTTTTACTATTTAATAAATATTTTGGTAATATTACTAAAATATTCATAAATATTTGCAAACCAATTTCCTCAATGTTGTATTAATATTATATCATAACATTTCTACAATAGAGGTTTTGGGACTTCTGAATGTTGTAGGAATGTTGAAATAACATTAGGCATTGGGTAAACAATGTTTATCCAATAATCATATAAATGAACATTAATATACTGGCAATATTTTTAAAATATTTTTGTGTTGTGTGGGATATCCTTATGTTTACTATTTAAATGTTTCAATAGGAATTCAAAGTTACCAGATTCAGGGCATGACATTGGACATTTGTAGATATGAAATGGACAAGATTCTTCGTGCTTGCTTACTTGAGGTTCAGTGCCAAATACTTTGCATCCTAATTTTTTAAATTGGCATGGATATTTTAAATTATTGGTTAATCCTTCTATTAAATAATTTCTTGTTTTAGTCCATTCTGCTTGGCATGTGGGACATTGTTTTAATGTACTAATACTACAAGCTCCAAACATACCAAATGTTTGATTTTGTTCTTGATTCCCTATTTTGTCACGACACACAATACAGATGCTGTGTCCATTTGAACAAAGATAAATTGGTGGTCTCATTATGTTAAAACAGACAGGACATTCCAATAGTTTTAATGTTTTTTCATCAATACCACTTGGATTTAAATTAAATTCGTTTTCTATTGAATTGTTTTCATCTGCAAGATGTTTCAATAACTCCATATCTACAATTGTGGCATTGGGATTTTTATGCAGATTTGATTCAGCATAAATACTATTTAACTTGGTAAGGGTGCCTACAGTTGTTGAACTGTTCTGTGTTTCTTTACTTTTGTGTTTTACCGAATACTCAACATTTTCTTCACATTGAAAGATGGGATTCATAGCATAGTAAAACTTATTATCAACAATTGAAGTTTTTAGAAGGCAGCTTTTGTAGTCATCAATCAATAATTTTATGTTGTAAGTTTCAGATAAGGAGGTCTCAACTTTAAAAATGTTATTTTCACTTTTTATCACATGCTCTGTGTGTTCTGTTGAAATATGGTCGGATATTTCCAAATTATTTCCATTCCATTTGCAATCATCATACATCAGCATCGGACAAGGTTTCACTTTGTATTCACAAACATTGATGTGCCTTTCATAATTTTTACATGTCAGTTTTTTAATGCAGCCCTTAAATTCGTACTTGCACGGCAAAATAAGCTGCGACATGACAAAAATAAGAGCGGAATTTAACTCTGCTCTCGATTTATCTTCGCACTGTTCATAGCATTTCGAACACACGTTCCCTTTACCGATTATTAAAAATATATCGGAAATGCAGAGCTCATTGCATATCTTGCAGTTAAAGATTTTCTCTTTTAACAGGTTGTCGTTTAAATTGGTTGAAACGTCGGTCGCCATTTAGTCTATAAAGAAAATAATAAAATAATTAACATTGAGGTTAGAAATTAAGGGGATTTCCCCCTTTCTTGCAATACAACTTTTGGTTATGATTCACATGTTATCTTATCAACATGCCTATTATTAATAGTATTAACAACCAACAAATAATAAAACAAAACTTTGACACTAACCTGGAAGAATTTAACTTAAAATCTTGCGAATAACAATTACTTTAAGAACTCAACAAACAGTATAAACCATAAAATAAACAAACCAGATAAGCAATTCGTTAACCGGCAACGTCCATGATTATACATACAACGTTGCCAAATTGTGAGCATCCGCGCTGTTGCCAAATCATGTCAAAAGTATGGTGTTTAGAGAAACTTAAGTAATAGTAAAATAAGGATATCTGTTTTTAACTCATATACTTTAAATTGTTATACAGGGTGATTCGTTTATAGCATACTTTATAAAAACTTTTTAACATATGTAGATGGTTGGCCTTTTTTAAACCGTTAAAAATAATGATGGCCTTTTTTAAACCGTTAAAAATAATGATGCATACCATAACCTTTATAATCTGTGATGCATACAACCTTCCTTTGTTATCTATGCTTCCTTTTTCTAAGGTGCTAACTAGATGGGGCACCATGCCAACTTTGTCAGTGTTGTAAGACTTACCGTAAATAAAAAAATTATTCAAATATATTTGGGTATAAATAAATCCAAATACTGATATATTCATAGACAAGTAAAGTTATATGGGTATGTAAAAAAATACGATTGTAAGTAATCTGGGTTGCTGGGTTTCATCATAGTATCAATCACTTTGTTAATTAGGTACCTACTAGTCTAGTAGTAGGCTACTACCATAGAACAAACCTACTACGCTACAAGTTAATATTATACAAGTTGCAATATACCCCATGAAAAATGTTTAAAAGTTAAAAAGTGTTTTCACTTGAACACTCAATATATTTTAAATAGGTACTTTATATTATTGTTAAACTGCAAATGTGACAGAATGCTATGTTCAAAAGAAAAGTAAAACGCTTCAAATTAACGTATTTTTTTTAATTTTTTAGATTTATTAATACAAATTTATAGAAAATTAAACTTAACATTGGATTCCTAAACTATTTTGAACATTAAAAAGTTTATTATTGAGGCACGTTTTTTTTTATAGTAATGTTAAATGTTGCATATTTGCACTCTAAAGACATTTTATCATTTCTTTCCTGCAAATTGGCTTTTTTTAAACATTCAGCATTTTTTATTAATGACCATTCACTTCCACTCTTTAAAACTTCCACTGTATAGATATAAGAACTAGGATTTTCATTGGAGCAATATAATTCAGCAACCCAATTCATATAATCACTGTGAGTACAATAATATGTGATTATAAATAATTTTGAATCATACAGAGTCCATTTCCTGGTTGATGATTCTTGAAATCTAAATGATAATTTAGTTGTAAGTTGCATATCCTTATGTTTATTATTTAAATGTTTCAATAGGAATTCAAAGTTACCAGATTCAGGGCATGACATTGGACATTTGTAGATATGAAATGGACAAGATTCTTCGTGCTTGCTTACTTGAGGTTCAGTGCCAAATACTTTGCATCCTAATTTTTTAAATTGGCATGGATATTTTAAATTATTGGTTAATCCTTCTATTAAATAATTTCTTGTTTTAGTCCATTCTGCTTGGCATGTGGGACATTTTTTTAATCTACTAATACTACAAGCTCCAAAGGCTGGTGCTCCAAAGGCTGGTGCTCCAAAGATACCAAAGCTACCAAATGTTTGATTTTGTTCTTGATTCCCTATTTTGTCACGACACACAATACAGATGCTGTGTCCACTTGAACACTGATAAATTGGTGGTCTCATTGTGTGAAAACAGACAGGACATTCCAGTAGTTTTAATGTTTTTTCATCAATGTCACTTGGATTTAAATTAAATTCGTTTTCTATCGAATTGTTTTCATCTGCAAAATGTTTCAATAACTCCATATCTACAATGGTGGCATTGGGATTTTTATGCAGGTTTGATTTACCATAAATACTATTTAACTTGGTAAGGGTGCCTACAGTTGTTGAACTGTTCTGTGTTTCTTTACTTTTGTGTTTTACTGAATACTCAACAGTTTCTTCACATTGAAAGATGGGATTCATAGCATAGTAAAACTTATTATCGACAATTGAAGTTCTTAGAAGACAGCTTTTGTAGTCATCAATCAATAATTTTATGTTGTATGTTTCAGATAAGGAAGTCTCAACTTTAAAAATGTTATTTTCACTTTTTATCACATGCTCTGTGTGTTCTGTTGAAATATGTTCGGATATTTCTAAATTATTTCCATTCCATTTGCAATCTTCATACATCAGCATCGGACAAGGTTTCACTTTGTATTCACAAACATTGATGTGCCTTTCATAATTTTTACATGTCAGTTTTTTAATGCAGCCCTTAAATTCGTACTTGCACAGCAAAATAAGCTGCGACATGACAAAAATAAGAGCGGAATTTAACTCTGCTCTCGATTTATCTTCGCACTCTTCATAGCATTTCGAACACACGTTCCCTTTACCGATTATTAAAAATATATCGGAAATGCAGAGCTCATCGCAAATCTTGCAGTTAAAGATTTTCTCTTTTAACAGGTTGTCGTTTAAATTGGTTGATACGTCGGTCGCCATTTAGTCTATAAAGAAAATAATAAAATAATTAACATTGAGGTTAGAAATTAAGGGGATTCCCCCCTTTCTTGCAATACAACTTTTGGTTATGATTCACATGTTATCTTAAATTAAAATCTATCAACATGCCTATTAACGAGCAACAAATAATAAAACAAAACTTTGACACTAACCTGGAAGAATTTAACTTAAAAACTTTGCGAATAACAATTACTTTAAGAACTCAACAACAGGATAAACCATAAAATAAACAAACCAGATAAGCAATTCGTTAACCGGCAACGTTCATGATAATACATACAACGTTGCCAAATTGTGAGCATCCGCGCTGTTGCCAAATTATGTCAAAAGTATGGTGTTTAGAGAAACTTATGAAATAGTAAAATAAGGATTTTTAAAAACTGTAAATCAATTTAAAATATGAGTTAAACACATCTATGGATACATGAATAATTAATGTATCTGTTTTAACTCATACTTTAAATTGTTATCACCCTAGCATACTTTATTAAAACTTTTTAACATAGAAAAATTAAATCAAAATTTAAAAACTTAAAAAATGATTTTTAATTACCTACATATATAATTTTAGGGTATTTAATGCTATTAAAATACTCTGAAGTAATGTATACCTACAACTTGTATATGACTATAGTTTCTAAATTATCATTGTTTACACAAAATAATTGACAATAAAAAAATATTATCAAAATAATATTCTTTGTGGGTCAAGTTTAAAATTCGGCAAAAACAAATACAATTTTATAAATGATATATTTGAATTTAACGTATGTCGCAATATTTTTTTAGTGTTTATACATACAGTTCATTTTTTTTATTAAGTTGGTAGCTTATGCCAGTTTGATTTAGTATTTTTAGTATTTAGTATTTAAAAAATGGTACTTCTGCTGAAGACCTTCATTAAATACTCAGACACTGTCAAATTGACAGTAATATTTATTATTTATAATTTAATTGTTAATTATTACGTAATATCGATATAAAAGTATAATACAAAGTAAAGTTTTTCAGACATTTGACATTTCATTGACATATGATTTTAACCTCACTTTTTACAAATGTGACATCTGTCATGCGGTTCTAACGAATTTAAACTTAAATCTAACTTCAGCCCGTGTGTAAAAAATGTTGTGAATGTAGGAGGGTAAATATAAAATTAATATGTACATATTTAAAACTGTATTTTGTTTCAGTAATGTAAAAAAAATCTGTTTTTTGCATATAAATACTTTATTTACACATTTGCAAAAATGGCGAATGCGCCGGGATTTGTGTTGTAATTATTTGTTATAATTTTGCAGGCAAACAGCTCAATTAAAAATATTTTATAAAACTTCTATAAACATGTTTTTTGAAGGTTAATTAAAATCCAAACATAAATATTAATCAATAAAATAAATTATAAAATTTAACTAGGTACAAAGAACCAATTTCTTTTTAATCACCCTATGATATATAAAAGTTAATTTTGTTTTGATAAATTTGTATTAAAACTAGCTACTTACCGATTCTAGGCGATTATAATATTTTGATAATTAATATTTATTTATTTAAAACATTTAAAACAAAACTATCAATAGGTAGACTAATTCTAATTAAAGAATAAATTACTTTGACCTTTGGAAGCAACACAATATGAACTATAATAGTATATTATGTATCAAGCTTGATAAACGCCATTTTAGTCACATATTTGAATTAGGCACGAGCGAGCTTGCGAAATATTTGTGTATAAAATGTCAAATTTTTCTGTATATAAATCTAAATGTATCCCACTATTTAAATGCGACATAGAAGCAGTTTTTTTACAGTGAAAGTGAATAAAATATTCACAATGCTTACAAATACATTCTAAATTAAGTTGTTATTAATATAAAATAATCAATTAAACATTGCTTTATAAATTACACTAATTATTTTATGTTATCATTGAAGTTAATTAATATTGATTTGAGTTTTTTATGCTAGTTAGGAAATTTTTCAATTTTTTTTTAGTTTTTAGGTACCTATGTAGTTCTATAGTGTTTTTTATGTAATTGTAAGTAAAAAATTTTTGACAAGCCAATCACCATATGATTTTTACCACAATAGCAATTTTTTTAATAGCAAATACCAAAGAGCCTATTTTTATCAACCTTAACCAAAATAATAAAAAACATCAGGTGTAAAACGTGTGTATATTTTTTCAAAATAAAATTATTTTACATTTGTTTCAATAGGTTCAAGGTTCAAATACATAAACAATTGAAAAATGCATGCAGAATCTACATTGTAAATTTTATAAAATGCTTTACAAATTTACGATGTATTTATTAATTAATGTATACCCAAATAAATATATCAAAATTTTGAAATATCTTATTTGGGTGAATATATTTCATTATTAATCAATGGTTTTTTGGAACACGCCTCTATTTATATATTATCGAATTTATTCACTATTACCCTATAGGGTGATTCATTTTTTCCACTCTCCAAGCAAAATATTGATGTACCCAAATATTGAGAAGAAAATCCTTTATAATCTTACTCCTTAGTATTTTATTAGGAAATTAGGGAACATTTCTTCTATACTCTCTAAAAATGAATTAGTCAAAAATGAATGAATATTAAATGGACAATTGACTTTATCTCAAAAAGGGTTCTACTTTTTTAACTTTTGACAACATTTTCGGATTCAGGGGACAATTTTACATAAGAATTGGCTGTTAAATTTTGGGATACCATGGTATTGCATGGTACAAGTGAAAAAGCAGCCACTAATAACTATTAAATTAGTAATTTTTGACTAATGTTATTTTAATTTGTAAAATATTCACACTACTATGAAAGTAGTGTATAGCTGTATAATTGATTTTTAATTAAATATCTGAGTTATTAAAAATTATAATTTAGTTTATAAATAAAAACTTGTTTGCTAGAAATCATTAGATAAGTCATGGTTTTGGATACTTATTTAGTAATTAATCGTATCTTTACTAAATAATTGATATATATTACTATAAACTATTACAAGTTAAAATAACTGCTAATAAACGATTGACGTAGGTAAATGTAAAATCAGTTCAGTTCATTGGTGCAAACGTAATGTAAACAAAAATAAATACCCAGCCATTAAAACCTTCTTTCGTAATAAATCTAGACTTAAAAAATAAAATGAAAAAATAATACCTTAGGATACTATTTTCAAAGTTTAAAGTGCTGTTTCGTAAACAATTCTTGTCAGATTTTAATAAAATTTACAATTTTTTTTAGAACATTATTTTATTGATAAAAACAGACACGATACATCCTAAAAATTATATGCCCTCTAAATATTTTACGGTTTTAAAAATTATTGCCTGGGTAAAAATTCACCAAAACTTAAAACCTACAAAATTTTATAAAATCTTTTAAAAATCCTTTAGTTTTAATAATTTTTTAATAACTTAAACTTTCCTTACTATATTTTAGAAAAATATTTATGAAAAAATATTATATTATAAATATATATATTTATTTATTAGCATTGCTATAAAATACAAAGTTGTATAAAGTATAAGTACCTACAGAAAACAAGTTACAAATAAGTAATAATTATTACATTATTACATTTAAATGTTTAAAAAAGTAATGGATGCCATCTTAAAAAACTCATTATGGCAACCTGAAAAAATTGTTCCCTTGTTTAGTCAATATTAATAGTTTTAAATAAATTGAATAAATTTTATAACCACTAATAACCCTAAAAAATACCAGACGAATAGGAATTATTTACGGTTATTAAGTGGTCTTATGAGTAACATTTACCATTAAGTAAAAATTACCGTTAAATTTTCCTTTAGGTGAAATACACTTATAAGTAATTTTCTTTCGTAAAAATTACGTCCTTCATAATACTTTAAAGTATTAAAATAGGTAAAAATAACATAAATAAAACTTAATAAATAACTTTAAAAAAGTTTTACTTCAAAGAAAATTTTTAAGGTTAATTTAACAACATATTTACTTAAATTAAGTAATATTGACTTAAAGCTAGAGTTAGAGAGAGAAATAAAAATTATGTACATATTTTTGAAAATTATTAAATTTAAAAATAGTATGTTAATAAGGATTTTTAACCAATGCAGAATTTTAAAATTTTTAAACAAGTTATTTTAATTTTGTTTTAATCTAATTCAATTAAAAATGGATTTATTAACTTTAACGTCGGTTGGTATGCAGCAGTATAGTTTTAAATCAAATTTAATCGGTTATTGGGAACGGGAATAATGAACTCATTATTCACGTTGTTAGGCATCATTGATTGGCTGATTTCAATATTCACATTTAAAGTCGGTAAAAAGTGAGGTTAACCATTTGACAGATGTCAGATTTTATTTTGTTATTTTTGAAAATCATTTTATTATCTACTTATACAGTAATAATATACTATTATTATTGTATAACACGGAAAAACATATTAAAAAATTCAAATAAAAAAAATTTGATAAATTTATTTAACAAAAAACACCTGAAAGAGACAAATATCCTCGATGACCGTGATTCGGCAGTTACTTTAGATCGCTACAAGGATCACACATGGATCAAGCAACATGCACTATAACTTCAACCATAGTAGTTTGTTGGTGGGGGGGAATTATAAAATATAGGTGGCTTAGCCTACCACCAAAGCAAAGCTCCTTTTTCTCGAGATCCCATATTGTTTCGGAGACAGTTGCTGCTTTCTTCCTTGACAAAAGGTTATTTATTTTTTTGCACCTCGGACGTATACATATTTATATATTTATACAGTTACTCCCCATATAGTTTAGTTTAGGACTTATAGTGATCTGTGACTGTGATATTTTTTTACTTTTATAAGGTAAGTCGCCGATTTTTTTTTTAATTGATTTATCCAAAAATATCAATCAATACAAAAACATGTTTCACAGATATTTTGAAGAAGCGATGACAATGCATTTCAGTTATGTCGATTTTGCAATAAAAATCATTATTTATTCCATCTAATTAAAACTGGGGCTAATTATTTTTCGTCAACAATAATCCCAATAAGGTCATTTTGTTCACCTATGTACAACAATGCTTTTTTCATGTTTTAATAATGTTTAAATTAACATTTACGTTGGCATAAATGTTTGAACTTAAAAAATTGCAGTTTTTATTTTTAGAAATGCATTGTTTATTGGCCAGTAGCCTAATCCATTTTTAATTTTATTATTGGGGATTATTAAGTGTTACAAAATTTTAATTTGCATTTTTACTTACCCAAATGCTGATAATGCTAAATAAGTATAATGTATAATATCACATGGTGTAATTAATAATTAAACATTTCATTTAATATTTTTTAAACTTTAATAGACAAATTATAAAAAAAAACTTGTTTTTAAAATATTTATGTTTTTGTAATTTTTTGCAAATAATAGATATTGCATAATGGAATTTTATTATTTTAAAGCAAAAAAAAATCCCAACTGAATCATGGATATATATATTTCAAAATAACAATGTTTGATACATTGTTATTTTCATAGGTATTAAATTATTTAAATTCTTAATTATAGAATTAAATACAAAACAAACAAATTTAATACATGTAATTAGAACAAATTAAAGAAAATATAGGAAATGCACTTTTTTCAGTAAAACAACACGCTTTTCAACTATGGTTACTCGCAAAACACAAATAATATGCAAATTAAAGTCAATGAAATTACTTTCTTTAGTGAACCTTGCAGGAATGCAATAAAAAAATAGTTACCTGTTTTAAACAAAATAAAAAGTTTTTTGGACGAAATCGGGCAATTTTTTGATCCAAAGTAAGGTTAGAACAGTTTGACAGATGTCAGATTGGAAAAAATTAGGTTAATATTAATATTTGTGTTAAAGAAGCAACAACAAACAAAATAACATTTTATTTTTACAAAAGAGCAATTTATTTTGACATTTGGCAACTAACTTCAGCCCGTGACTAAATCGCCATAGTCACAGGTGTATTTAAAAGATCACTTGCCGATAATGAGCGTAATAAAGGTGGAAGTGAAAAAAGTTTAATTATGATGATAAATTATTAAATCTTGGGAAATACAATTTTCAATTAAAATTTAAAAGGAGCACAACAAATTGTCGATTGCCAATAAATTGCAAAATTAAGTGTGTTAGGTCTAAACATAAATAATAAATATCGAAATGGAAAGTGCTATAAGTTGATTACAAAAATTGATGTAAAAAATTAGGTATTTTTAACGAGAAAATGTTACCATTCAAAAATTACAATATACGCGTTATATGATTAAAATTTGTGTATGATTAATAGAAATGTTTACCATGGCAACATGTGGTTTCGTGTTATATTGAACACTTGCTTTTGATTGCAAAATTCTTAAACAGTGCATTTTATAATCATTAACATATATGTTATTTACCTGTCATTTTGTTTGTTTTTTTAAATTTTTTTACCTCAAAAAAATATGTCATAGAAGATTGTACAATAATTTTTTTGTTTCAGTGTTTATTGGAAAGTTTATAGAAAATTTGTGTTTTGGGTAAGTTTAATTTTACATTTTGCATAATTATTAACAATTACCTAAATTATTAATTAAATTAATTGCCCGTAAATTTGAATTTTAAAGTATTGTTTAAATTGAAATGCTTGTTATTTTATATTTGGTAATATTATTAATTGTTTCATTGCAAGGTGGTTATTATTATCGACCTATTTATGAGAAATTATATTTACCATAATTATCAGACGCACTTTTATTGTTTATTAAAAAAAACATTTTATCGAAAAAATTAAAGGCAAAAAAAAAGTTTGGTTATTTGCACCAAAACCCATACAAAAATACAAATTGACCCCACATAAAGTCTATGGGAGACAAATCAGGTGATCTAGCCGGCCAATCCGAAACTGAACCAATTTTGAACACTTAAAAGTCTTACCTTTATGAGCTTCACTGATAAGCTAAAACTTTTAAACAATTAAGTGAAAAGATAAATATATATTATGATGGAAAAATAATTAACATTTTCCCTATCAAACTTTATATTTAATACCTTCTTATCATAATGAACACAATTAAAAAACACTAGTTAGTCTTGTAAAGTGTTTTGAGTTGGGGTGTTCAAAATAACTGTGTTGTTTTAAAGGTTAGTAATTAAGGAGTTCGGTCTTAATTGCAGTAATCTCTTGGATAAATTCAGCTTTCTAATATCGAAATATATATGCATGGGTGTGTAAATGGCCTTCCTGTACATATATTTAGGATTTCACAGTTGCTGAACAATTATTAAATTTTTTTATTTTTATAATTAACCCTAAATGGTTAAACAATAAATTTATTTCGCAACAAAATGCAATAAAATGTCGAATTTATTTTACTATAAAATAATAATTAAAAAAATAAATTCTTGCACTGATTACACTGTGCAACACAAAAAATGAACTGGGATCAAATCTGAAAAAATCGAATCTAGGCAACCCCCAAAACAAATCCTTTAAGGGGTTTTACCAGTTTAGCTCTAATAATGGAGATACACAGGGTGTTTCTTTTAACTTAACAATAGACAGCTCAATATCTCAATATCTCGAGAAATACGCATTTCACGGAAAAATGTCTTAAATAAAAGGTTAATGTGACTAAAGGGGACATTATTTGGTGCTACCGCTAGCCACCCCCTACCCCTCCTTAAGGGTGAAACGGGGGGTAACTTTGGAAAGTCAAATGGAATGACCCGATTTTTTTCACAGAGTTTGGTAGTACATAAAAAAATAAATAACTTTTATTTAAAACTTTTTTCAATTTATCAACAGATGGCGCTGTAATTCAAAATTTAAGAAAAATGAGTTTCCTTGTAAAATGTATTATTTGAAACGTTTGAAAAACAAAAATTAACATTAACAACAATAGTCGGCTATGAAAACAATTTATAACAAATGTTTGAAATGTCGTCATTCCATTTCCATTTTACAAGGAAACCCCTTTTTCTTAAATTTTGAATTACAGCGCCATCTGTTGATAAATTGAAAAAAACTTTCAAATAAAAGTTATTAATTTTTTTATGTACTACCAAACTCTGTCAAAAAAATCGGGTCATTCCATTTGACTTTCCAAAGTTACCCCCCGTTTCACCCTTAAGGAGGGGTAGGGGGTGGCTAGCGGTAGCACCAAATAATGTCCCCTTTGGTCACATTAACCTTTTATTTAAGACATTTTTCAGTGAAATGCGTATTTCTCGAGATATTGAGCTGTCTCAAGTTAAAAGAAACACCCTGTATATCTCCCTTATTCGAGCTAAACTAGCAAAACCCCTTTAAAGATTAGTTTTGGGGGTTGCATAGATTCGATTTTTCCACATTTCATCCCAGTTCAAATTGTAAGGTCAAAATTTGTCGCACAGTGTTATTACACCTTACGCAATATTTTCGTCTCTTAAGAAAATCTTAAATAAAATAATAATGTATGACATGTAAGCAAGTAGCTAAGAAATTATTTTTTGTTGGTAAATATTGCGATGTATTAATTATTGGTGCGTTTACCATAAGCAATGTTGCACACTTCATACATATACCTTTTCTTCTTAAAACACTTCTATTAAGATTGCTCAACAGATGGTTTATTATAATAATTATTATATTTATAAAAATCATATATTATGTAATATATTTTCTAAAAATGAATTGGTCAAAAATGACTAATTGTATTCGAAAATGTCAAAAGTTGGAAAAGTAGAACGGTTTTTGAGATAGTCAATTTTGGAATTGACTATATCTCAAAAACTGCTCTACTTTCATAATTTTTGACGGTATTTTTGTATTCAGGGGACAATTTTAGAATTGGCTGTTTAATTTTGGGATACCATGGTATTCCATGGTTAACCATGGTACAAGTGAAAAAGCAGCCACTTATAACTATTAAATTAGTCAATTTTGACTAATTCATCTTCCTCATTTTTTCATAATACTTTGTTGTAAATAATATGCCATTGTTTCCTATTTTCTTCATAATCTTTAGGTACTAGGTGTGAGTACCATCAAATTAGATTTAATTGCAAAGACTTTAAATACAACAACCTTAATGTATTTTCACGGACAAACGACATGTTTGAACTCAAAAAATTTCGCAACTTTTGCATTAGGTTAAGTGGTGCAAATAAACTAGAAAAATTGCCTAATAAACAATCCATCTCTTTTGTGTTGAGGTCAGGAATAATGGAATAAAGCCTTATATGTGTTTTATTTGTGGAATCGTTATACCGTGAATTATTCACAGCTTTTGTTTTGGCACTGAATCAAAGTGCTATAAATCTATTGGAAAATTTTGTACAAATTTATTCAATTTTATTTCCTTATTATTTCCTTACACAAAGGATTGGCCTATAAAATACTAAACAACAGCCCAATTCGTTTTTTATTAAAATAAATAAGTAAATAATAAATTATTCGTAAAAATTTAATTTCCTTGTGCTTAACATAAAAAATAACAGCGTTATTCTAATGTTTTGTTTGTTAGTTGATGATTCAGTACGGTATTCCTTATATGAAGCATCCAGGTTTAACATATTTATTGCAATTTTATACGCACAAGGAAATTAAATAAGTAATTTATTGTTGAAAACATAAAATGCATTTTTTTCCTATACTACCTGTTAGGTGAAAAATATCTATTGCCTACTTATCAAATAAAAAGTTTATAATACTTTTTATTATCTTAAAATAATTTAAATCAAAAATTTGTATAAAGCGCCATCTATGAAACAATAGGGGAATCTGTGAGTCACCGTCAAATGTCAAATTTCTATATTTTATAAACACAGATTATAAAGGTTATAAATCGAAATGTATTTCTTGAAAATTGACAGTTTTTCACACTGAAAGTAAAGAACATGTTTTATGAGCACTTTACAGTGGAGTCCGTGCCCGAATTTATGTTATAGTTTACTGCCGGCGAAATTAAAAGGTCAGTACAATGTTAACTTTTCAAATATTGGCGTTGAGAAACTATTTAATACTTTTGTATTTTTGTATTGAGATAATAAAATAATTTTCACATTTCGTATTATTTTACAAGAAAGTCATTTTATTTTAACGATTGTATGATATTTGACAACTATCAACTAACTTAAAACTAACTAACTAATTAACAAGTAAATTATCAATAATAAATATTACTGTCAATTTGACAGTGTCAGAATACCAAGGCGTTTGACGTATGACATATTATAGGTTATGTACATAAATTAACTTTACAGTAACCTGTAATTTTACGAAACGTGATAGATGGAACCACTTTTATTAATTACTTGAAAACGAATGAAGAATTTGACCTTTTACTCGGGTATATTAATTTTAAGACGTACTTATTAAAATTAAAAAACAAAATAAACAAATGTGTTGTATTGCAAAACTTATCATTGATTAGGTGTGGTTTAATAATAATGAACCGCCTTAATTGCATTTGCCAGGGAAAGTAAATAATCGTGGTTAATAAATGGAAAATTTAAAAATCTTGCGTTAAAAATAAATTGGTATCTGTATCAAGGTGAACAGCCATCCCCTGTATTGGCCAAGTTTACCAAAAACTAAGTACCACAAGATTGTGAGTGACATTTTGTGATTTATGTATGTATACCCAACTTTATTCATTAAATGGTTTTTTGATGACTTGTTCTTAAATTTCAATCTTTCGAAATTTACATCTATTTTTAGCCAAAACTTAACCCTGTAAAGAGTTAAGATTCAGGTAGATAAAGAATGCACAAGAAAAACAATAATTTTATGTAAACCTGTCAAGCAAAATAATTTATTACATACACCATAATACTGCAGTTAATTTTTTTGAATTCATTTTATGACACAAGCAGCAAAGTTTAAATTTTATAGTCGTGTAGAATCAAAAGTTATTTTATGAAAAATACAAAAAAATGTTATACTTTCTTCTTGATAAAAAAATATCAGCGGCAAGAAACAATATTCTTTTGTAAACCTTTTTTTCAGTCAATCTTCTAGTTTTCAACGATGCCAATATTTAGGCTTGAACTCCCCACTACGAAGGTCCTTGATTTTAATTGTTAAATGCACGTTTTAATAATTAAAATCGAAAGGCACATGTGGTGAGGGGAATTTAAGCTTAAATACTAACAACGCTGGTAGTTTCAGTGAAGATCAGAAGCTTTTGAATAAAGCAATACGTACTATTGGATCAAGAGATATTTGCTCTAAAATCAAAATAAAATGTGGTTAGGTCAATAGGATATGCTTTTGTAGCAAGACAAATTTTCTTTCTTAGAAAGTTCCTAAGATTTTCAATTAAGAGATGCAGTTTTCTTGTTAAAATCCCATTTTTTGTGCTAAAAAACGTTTTCTTCAATCAAAAGATACAAATATCTTCAGAAGAAATATTTTTGGTTCTTGTACCAAGAAATCGCTTGTTCTTGATTTAAGCTAATATTGTGATATTCTGAAACGAATAGATAAATCTCTTTCCTCAAGTAATTAAAAAAAATTATGTAAAGATAGCTCTTGGCCCTATTCAAAAGCGCAAATCTTTTGAATTAAAGTGATTTTAATTTGTTTTAAGAGATTATTTTTTTCAGTATATATATTTTTTGTTATTAATCTTTCAAGTTGTTTTAACGCATTCGATATCGCCGCATACAAAATCGAAAGTACCGAAAGCAGAGCAAGTTTCGTTTAGAATCGTTCAGGTGTTAACATTTTTCGTGTGGTATTTCTGAAAGGTCGAACCAATGAAATTTCGCAATTTTATAATTTTATAATTCTTGTGCGTTGTTTACTTGCATTAAATTCTCATAACGCGGTCAATTAGTTTTTGCTTTTGGATCTACACTTTATTTTTTATTTTTCGACTATTTTCTCAAGATGGAAACACACACATTTTATTAAAAACACTTGTTTTTTAAATTATTTTAAATATCTGCCAACTTTTATCCATTTTTATAAGTTTTAAAATTAATGAAATTGAGGTCAAATTTTAAAGTTGGCTAAATCAATACACATATTATGTATCAAGTTTGGTAAACGCCATTTTAGTGGTGGTAGAAAAAAAATATAATTATTTTTGTAAATATGTTTTTTTTTACTCTTTATACATCCGCAAACCCAAATGGCAAAGTTCATTAACCTTTGTCAAAAATGGCGGATGCGCCGGTGTTAATAATTTATATCTATTAATTGGTTGACGTTTACAGTTTAAAAATTTAAATAAAATTCCATTATTTACTCATTTGAATACTTGTACGTTAAACCTGTTAATTATTATTATCAATAAAAATCAACTGACAAAAATTTATTTTTTATCTGGTTCTATAAAACCAGTTTTAATTTATTTTTGGCAATATTTTCAATGTTTAAGCTGTGAGTGAAAAAATTATTCAAGATTGTTTTAATAAACGTTAAAAATTATGCAAAATGCTTAAAAAAACTATTGATTCTAAAATGTTTTTTTTTAGAAACCAGCGGTTTAAAAAAAAATTCGTTAAAATTTTAAAAATTCTTTAATTACAAATCCAGATTAATAAAAAACAAAAACAGAAACAAGCAAGTTCGTATCTTGAACAATAACTTTAAGGTCCACTTCCGGTCCGGATATTTTCGAATTGTTATATTTTTCAGGAGGCGTTGAACTTGAAGGTTTACCTTGCATTTGCCGGTCGACCTTAAAGGCAAATTGCTTAGTTGTTGATATTTTTTTAAATAATCAAAAACATATACTCTGGCCAGTTACCAATATAAAATGTTGTTAACTTAAAACCCTGATCTAAAACCAATTATATATCATATGTATTATTTGTATTTCCTTACATAAATATTATGAGATTTATAATAACAAGAAACTAAAACTAAAATTAAATAAATTAAAATTTATTAGAGACCGACTTTTTTAATTTTTAAAGTGCATAAAGGTCCGGTCTCTAATAAATATAAATAATTTTTTCTACTCCCACCTTTAAACCGCCCTTTATCGTACATGTTTCCATGACACTAAGTGACCTTTTAAATACACATTGACAAGTTGTGGATTTATGGCGCTTTAGTCACGGGCTGAAGTTAGCAACAGGTTTTTAGTTGACAGTTATCAAATGTCATAGAATCGTTAAAATAAAGTGCCTTTCTTGTAAAATAATACTTAATGTGAAAATTATTTTATTATCTCAATATAAGAACATTGTACTGACATTTTAATTTAGCCGGCAGTAAACTATAACTTAAACTCGGGAACGGACTCCACTGTAAAGTGCTCATAAAACATTTTCTTTACTTTCACTGTGAAAAACTGTCAATTTTCAAGATACATTTCGATTGATAACCTTTATAATTGTGTTTATAAAATATAAAAATTTGACATTTGATGGTGACACACAGATTCATCTATTGTTTCATAGATGGCGCTCTATACAAATTTTTTATTTAAATCATTTTAAGATAATAATAAGTATTTGTCGTAGAAAAAGTGTAGTATGCACTTCGTTTATAAACTTTTCTATACACTCATTAATTTAAACACTCGCTCGCAAGCTCGCTTCGTTTATAAAATGGCGTTTATCAAACTTGATACATAATATACTATTATGGCTATATGGCGGTTTAGTCACGGGCTGAAGTTTGTTTTAACTTTTAAAATAATACTAAATGTATACATTTATATTATAATAACTAATTTGTTGCAATTATATCTATTATCTACATTTACTTGCCATTCCTTGTTAGTAGTCAATATATTACCTGTATGAAGAGATTGTTAAGGACATTACTTATTAATGTTGTTTTTCAAACATCAACAATATTCACAATATTTCTAATAATATTAATGCCTTGAATTTATAATTATTTTAATCAACAAACCATTATACATTATGGAATTTTTTTAAATTAATATGATATTAATAAAAACCAAATTTTTCCACTATACCTATTTAAAATTTAAAAAAATTTACACATACATACGTATGATAATTTTGTTATTAGACAAGTTTAGATTAATCATCATTAGGTGTAAATAACTTAATAAACCTTGTTTATTTTTTTATAAATTTTATACTTCAAATCATTAATAGTCATAATCGCCATTTTGCCCATGTAATTCCATATTGCTTAATCGCAATAGCCTTACAAATATACTATAAATATAATTATATATATGTTATAATATATTATTATTATTATTATTATTATTATTTTAAAATATGTATCATAAATAGATCCATAAAATGTTCTTGCTTGATTCTCAAATAAAATAGTATATTAAAGAACTAATGTCATAAGACGTCATTTTGAGTTATTTATGCTATTTTATCTATTTTGTAAAAATTCTATAAAAAAATTAATTTTATACCTTAAATTTAATTTGTTCGAATTTTACTTTAGATACAGAAAAGTCTCGTAAGTACTAGAAAAATTATAAAAATATTATAACCAATATGCAAAATATTATGGTGTTTAAAGTATAGCCAACCTATAAAATCAAAATTTTGGGTGGGATAAAGTATCTCATTACAGCACCGAAAACGGTGTTATAATAAAGTCATTATGAACGCAAAATAGATAAAACATTATTTTACAAATCCTTAAAGAAGGTGAAATATCTAATTATTTTGGTGTATATCCCCATAACATAGTCAATAAAATCACTCGATATAAAAATTCAATAATTTGTAAAAAAATATTGACCATGGAACAATGGTAATTTTTAAGTTTGTTTGTTTGGTAATTTAAATAACCGCTAAATAAATAAATAAATAAAGTTTATAATAATGCAATTCTATTTAATTAAAAAAAACAATTATTTTTTATCCTTAAGTTATTATAGTCATTATTGGATTTCTATATGAGGAAACTGCCAAAAGATGATTTATTACGAAAATTACTAAGATTGAAACATCAGCATTAAAAATATAACAATTGAATTCTCGGTAAAATGTTTAAAACAACCTTCACCTACTTGTAGAGTAAACTACTGTTTGATTTCGGAGCTATTGAACTACAATATCTAATAAACATTGCGCAAATTTTTGAGCAGGTTTTATTCAATAACCTTAATTATTTGTGTTTTTTGTTCACTTGATCATATTGATTCATTTCGCCAGAGGCTGTCAAAAGAACTATAAATTAGTAAGGATTATTTATCAAGTGATATATATTAGTATTTACGCAATACAGTCTATTATTATTATTATTAAAATTATAATTGCTTTTATTCCAATACCATACAAATTATATAAAAAACTAATATTTTATTAAAAATTAAATTAAAAGTGTAGGTGCTTGTTTATTAAAATATATATAAGCAAGGCTACATAATTCTTAAATTTTTTCTTTATAATTTAGTTTTGACTGTTATTCCTAAAAATCCTTATATGTAGGGTTTCTAATTTATTCATATACGTTTTATGGATTAAAGGTCATCACATACGCATTTTAGGTATTTATAGTAATATGCATTGCATATGAGTAAGATGACAAATCAAAATTAGCAACTGTAACTATTAATAACAATAAACTATTCAAACATTGTCTAAGCCGTTAATTTTACGACTTCTTACTTCATGACGATTGTATTAAAAAAATTAATCGGTTTTAGTTTAACGTTTACTTATTGTATTTACTAATCTATTGTCCTGTAGAAAATACAGCTAATTTTTGCAACTTATTGATTAGTGTTTAATTTTTTTTCAGATATAAAATGACAAATATTATTAGAAGTGTTATAGATGGCTACCACGATCTCATGGATAACAAAAGTGGTAAGTAATAGTTAACTTAAGTTAACGAGTAAAATCATATAAAAAAGTAGTTAAATATAGGTGACTCCCTGATAGCACAGTTTATTCTAAGAATGTTTTTTAAACCTTCCAGTGGGAATATTCTTAGGATCATGCTATATTTCTTCTAGTCATGTTCTAAGAATATTTTTTAAACCTTCCAGTGAGAATATTCTTACGATCATGTTATATTTCTTCTAGTCATGTTCTAAGAATGTTTTTTAAACCTTCCAGTGAGAATATTCTTACGATCATGCTATATTTCTTCTAAAGAACATGCTTAAAAGAAATATAGCATAATCCTAAGAATATTCTCACTGGCCTATAGGCAGGTTCTTAGAAGGTGCAAAGTTTAGTGGTAAAAATTAATCCACTCTAAACATATGCTTAGAATGTTGAGAAAGTAATTGCTATAGAAAGTTCATTTAGGAATATTCCTGGAACATTCTGTTAAGCATATTTAGTTCAGTTAGGTACCTATATAATAGTAAAATATACCATAATCTACGTATAAAGGTACCTATACTTAGTATTAAATACTAAGTAAAAACACAACCCAAAATATTTTTTATGGTTATTTGTCAAATTAAAACAATATTCGATAACAAAAATACTAATCTTCTATCCAACTTAAATACAATGAAAAATGTTTTTTTTATGAAGAACTTTTTGGTTTTTTCTTTTATGAAGAATTATTTTATAAGGAAATATTTTGTTTTTTTTATATTTTATTTTATGTTAAAAATAAATATTTATTAATTTGTATACCGATTTTTTATATCTGAATTAACATTTTTATGTATAATAATCCTAACTATCTTCAACTTCAATCTAATCTGACTTATCCCACAAAATTTTCCAATTTTACTTTTTATGAAATAATGTCATACAACTTATGGTTTAGAGGTCAAATTGTTTATTTAATATTTTTAAATAAATATATATTAATATGTCGCAAAATTTAAGGGGACGACAAATACATTTCACTGTCATATTATGACAGTGAGGCGTATTTGTCTCCTGAAGAATTTATGAATGTAGAATACAATTACATACATATTAGAACGTGGGTATCTGACATATTTGGAAATATTCTCAAAAGCTTCCTACAAGCTCCATAAGAAACCTTCTAAGAACATTCCAAAAACGTATTCTTAAAATGTTCTTACGATGCTTTTTAGGAAGGTTTTAAGAAGCTTTTAAGAATCTAATTGCATCATTAAAAGGGTATCTATTGAATGTTTTAAAAGTCCCTAAAAACATTCTTAGCAATAAGGGAAGGTTCTAAGAATATTTCATTATTTCGGGTAATATCTTCTAAGAAGATTCTTAAAATCAAATTTTGCTATCAGGGTATTACTTACGTTGTTTACCAAATGTTTGTTATATATTAAATTTAAATCACTTGTGGTATAAATTAAAATTTGCATAAGTATTAGTACAAAACAATGGTGTAAATTTAGGATCAAAGTGATTTTAAAATCCACGTGTTATTTCCTAACTGTCATCTGTTTATGTTTAGGAAAAATTTTAAAAAATCAAACGCACTTATTTTTTAACCTTAACCTTTGCTTGTTAATATCCTGTTTTTAAAAATGAATAATCATGACAACACTTACCTATCTCAATAAAATATTATTTTTGCTCTTCTGTCCCTGATCGTGAACCTTGAAAAAAAATGTCTATGCGAAAACTTAATATCTTTTTTTCTTTTTTTTTAGACCCCAGGGTTGCCGATTGGGCCATGATGAGCTCGCCTTTTCCAACCTTGGCCATTTGTTTGACATACGCTTATTGCGTGAGAAGAGTTGGGCCTCAATTAATGGAAAACAGAAAACCCTTCGAACTCAAAAGAGTTTTGATTTTCTACAACCTATTCCAAGTGATTTTTAGCTCTTGGCTTTTTTACGAGGTACCTAATAATATTGTGTAATTTAATAAGTTAATTTATTTGTTAAAACTTTTTTTATATAAATATTGCTTTGTTTATTTCTAGAGTGCAGTAAATGGGTGGTTGACCACCTACAGTTTAAGGTGCCAACCTGTTGATTATTCCATGGACCCCACAGCCTTAAGAGTAGGTTACTTACTAAGTTATACGATATAACTAAATAAAAAACAGTTATCGACTAATAAACTACATTTGAGAAATTCCAAAAAAAACTTTCATTGATTAATTTAAATATTAAAAGCATAAATTATTTGTTAACCGTATTTTATAATGCACATACTAAATTATTAAAAGAATATTCACATAATTGTTAATTTATTTACTTATTGATTTTTAATCAACAAAAAACCAAAATGAATATTTTTTTTAAATTTATATAAACAATTTAATTAATATACAAATATAGATCATTAAATTTAAGTTTAAAATTTCCAATGGAACACATATTTTTTATTGCAGATTCGGATCATTCGACTAAAAATAGGTAGATTTTGTCTAATGCATTTTTTCATATGGCGCTGTAATGAAAAAAAGTAAATTTTGTTCGATTTTTCTTCTGTATACGATTCTCCAATAATTTTTAAATAAAATACTTGGTTTTATTTTTAAAATTTATGTATTTTTTAAATTTTAGGTGCTCAAAATAACAATATTAAATATTTGCTCGACGAACTCTTTTTTTTCGGTTGAACTCTCCCGTTTGTAGTAAACTGCTTGACTGTACGGTTATCGAATTTTATCCGGAAAACGCTGAGCGTAGATATTAACAGCATCATCAAGATTCCTGCCTGCTTCTCCATAAATCAAAATCATTTCTATTTTTTCTTCCACTGTTAAAAAATCCATTATGAATAACTGCTTAACGAAAGGAGGTCTTTTTGTTTGCAAATTAATCTTCGAACTAAATTGATTAAATAATGCTAAACTATAAATAGTTTCTTTACAAATCAATGAGGATTAAATTATTTAATTGACAAAATAATGTTTTTTTACCTTAAATGAGGTATTTTTATTAAAAATAGTACAATAATCCTTTAAATTCAAAGATTTAATGCTGGCAGGTAAAAAGTAACCATGTTGTGCAATTGATAATTATCACCGAATTAAATAATGTATAAAACTTAAATATTAATTAAAAAATCGTGGGTACTTAAAAAAATCAGATTTAATTTAATAAGATAATTATTACCAAAAAATCTGATATTTTATTAGAAAAATTATTGCAGAATCGACATCTTTTACAAATATGAAAAAATGTTTTAGACAAAATCTATCTCACCCTTTATAAACAATTTAATTAATATACAAATATAGATCATTAAATTTAAGTTTAACATATACAATAATTCTATTAAATTTTAGATGGCCAGAGGTTGTTGGTGGTACTACTTCTCAAAATTCACGGAATTCTTCGATACAGTAAGAAAATATTTATTAATACTTATATTTTAATTATAGTAGCAATTATTATTAGTAATTATAAGAACTAAATGGGTATTAAATACTTTAATAATTAATTATTAATTAGTAATTATTACATTTCAACCAAATACTCAAAGTCTAATGAGCAAAGTTTAGTAATCATTAAATTTTGTCATGATGAAAAAATAATATTTTTATTTAAATGCTTTATAGGTACTGAGAAATAATTAAGTAATTTTAATAGGTTTACGTGGAAAATGAGAAAAAACAAATTTACACTGTTTAAAATATCTGTGGTGTAAAAAGTAATCCTAAAATGGTGTCAATATAAACACCATCAATTATGGTTGAAAATGTTATATACAGCAAACACCAAAACGGTGTTAATCTAAAAATATTTGAGAAGTGCACCTACACAGAAAAAAAGGAATAGTTCCTTTAACTATATTAATTTAGTTGACCTATAAGTATTTATTTAAATCAAATGTGGGAAGGTTAATAAAAACAAGGATTAGTTTGACGGAACTAAACCAGATAGTTATTTTTTTTTTTTTAATTGGTTAAATTAACCCAGAAAACTATAGTGAAACCAACCCGCTGTATGGTTCAGTTTACTAAATATGTCATCAACCTAAAGCAATCTGTTAAAACGATTAGAACAATTTTCCGTGCATTCCTGGTTGCATAGTGTGTACCGATCGCGGCAAAGGCGGTGTGGATCACGTGATGTTCTTAAATCTCGCCTCTGTTGACTTACATGAAGAGTATATAAGCTCAGGTAGTCCTTTGCTTTGGTGTGACACTACAAGTTGTTCGATACTAAAGAGACCTTAAATAGGCGGAAACAGCTGTCAAGATTTGAAGTATTTTAAGTTCCACCCACTAAAAACATTATCTCTAGCGAGTTGAAGGTTCAATTTTCTGGAATAATACCACTGGTAATATACTAGTAATGTGTCAAGGAACTTCCTTTTTTTTTCTGTGTAGTATGATTTAATTTGACCAAAAACACATAATATTTAACACTGAAAATGAGTTCAATTTACACCATTTTATACTGTGTGAAAGTTAAATTTACACTATTTTAGTATTTGAATTTACACTGGACCAACGAACCATATTTAACACCATTTTGGTTTGTATCGATATAGACCATGTATGGTGTTAATTTGGTGTTAAAATGGTCATGAAATTTTGAAAAGTGTACTTACGTTTTTCTTCCAGATTTTTTTTGTGATGAGGAAAAAGAACGATCAACTGTCCACACTCCACGTCATCCACCATGGGGTGATGCCCATGTCCGTATGGTTCGGGGTGAAATTCAGTCCGGGCGGTCACTCGACCTTCTTCGGCTTCCTGAACACTTTCGTGCACATCATCATGTACTCGTACTACCTTCTGGCGGCTCTTGGTCCTCAGTACCAGAAGTACCTGTGGTGGAAAAAGTACCTCACCACCTTCCAAATGGTGCAGTTCGTGTTGGTGATGGTGCACGCCTTTCAGTTGCTCTTCATCGAGTGCAACTACCCCAAAATTTTCTGCTGGTGGATCGGAATGCATGCCGTTATGTTCTACTTCTTGTTCTCGGACTTCTACAAGCAGGCATACCTCAAGAAAAAGCAAAAGTTGGAGGTAAATATTTGGCATTTCTATTTTGTCCAATAATTATTTTACTATAATCGTAGAAAAAATAAATTAATTAAAAGAAATCCTGGTCACGGCACCAATTTGTAATTTTTCCTAATAATTAGAAAGAAAGATTAAAACAAACAAAATCTGAACAGTTTTGTACATATGCCCATTAGGGTGTCCCTTATTTTTATTTTTTTATGCATACCCTCTAATTATGTTTATTACTTGTTTATATACTTCCAGTAAAAATTTCAGCTCATTCTATAAACGGGAACCCGTGCCGACTTGCATCTAAACTCTCCGTTAGCCAACGTTAGGCGCGCGCGGTATTTTGTAACACGAAATACTTTAAAAAGAAGATATACTTTATGACTGTATTTTTCTAATGATTTTATTAAATATTATTACTAATTAATATTATTGCTTTTGTTTCTATCATTTGTTTCACTAATTTAGTTGATTTTATCTCTTAAATATATTAATATACTAATTAGTATTGCTAAAATATACTGTTATATGAAATTTCAGCTTTTTAAAAGCATTTCTTTTCTTGATGTCCTCCCAAAAATATTTCAGACAGTTCAATAAGTTTTCGGTAGTCATCTCTCACAATAGACTCTTTTAGTTATTTAGAGTAAAACCCATTAAGTTTATCAATTTCAGAGTTTACGGCCTATTCACCAGACCCTTCCGGGTAACTAGCCACTCCTTGTGAAAATATACATTTTTATCAAAGTATTACACATAAATAAAATTATATTTTAACATTTGTCAATAATTTATAATATAAGGGTCACATAATAACAAACACAAAATGACTTACGATCGAAAACCTCGCGACCAACCGTGTTACAAAATACCGCGCGCCTAACATTGGCTAACGGGTTCAGATGCAAGTCGGCACGGGTTCCCGTTTATAGAATAAGCTGAAATTTTTACTGGGAGTATATAAACACGTAATAAATATAATTAGAGGGTATGAGTAAAAAAAATAAAAATAAGGGATACCCTAATGCCCATATATATATTAAGAACAACAATTTTTAATAGAACGTTACTTCGATCGCTTATTAAAATAAATTTTAAAAAATCCTGGTCACGGCACCAATTTCTATGAGGCGCTGTTTTTATTTTTTTTTAGGAATTAATTTCATGTGTTAACACAGAGTTATATTTTCACCCATAATATAACAAGTGGTATGATTATCATCGATGATATTTTCGAATTGAAACCGAGCTGCAGATTTCACGAGTCCGCAGGACGAGTGAAATGTGCTGCTTCGGTTTTAATGAGTAAATATAATCGATAATTAATCATACCACGAGTTATATTTAGTGAGAAAATATAATGAATTTTAGGATTTAACGAATTTTTAGTTTGACATTTGAAATTAAAATGTGCTTTAAAATATAAAAAGACTTTAATAAACCTTATTTATTCAAACTTACCTTAATTTCATTATCGTTTACACCAACCCATCGATCTTTTAGAGTTTATAATTCATTATTTTATTCATATATATCAAAAACAGAATTGAAATGACAACAAATGTCAAATCAAAAAAACGTCAAAATTCATAGTAACGTGTAAACAAGATGATAAAAAATATTGCCGCTGTGATAAAATACGTCACTATGGAATACTGGCATTTAATTGGTTCTAATATTAATGAATTATATTGTCACCCATAATATAACAAGTGGTATGATTATCATCGATGATATGTGCTGCTTCGGTTTCAATGAGTAAATATCTTCGATTATTAATCATACCACGAGTTATATTTAGTGAGAAAATATAATGAATTTTAGGAATTAAAAAATTTGTCAGATTGACATTTAAAATTAAAATGTGCTTTAAAATATAAAAAGACTTTAATAAACCTTATTTATTTAAACTTACCTTAATTTCATTATCGTTTACACCAACCCATCGATCTTTTAGAGTTTATAATTCATTATTTTATTGATATATATCAAATACAGAATTTAAATGACAACAGATGTTAAATAAAAAAAAGTGTCAAAATTCTTAGTAACGTGTAAACAAGATGATAAAAATTATTGCCGCTGTGATAAAATACGTCACTATGGAATTCTGGCATTTTATTGGTTCTAATATTAATGAATTGTATTGTCAATTAGATAAAAAATATCACATAAGAATTTTTATTTATTTATTTTTGTAGTTAATTTAAAATATGGAGAATATATTGAGATTTCCCCAAATGAAAATGATTATTTTTTATTTTTGGTTGTTTCACTGTTAGTCTAGAATGGGGTTTTTGGGACCACCACACCACAGCCACCAGGTCTAGTAATAACATAACATAAGTGGTTCTGCACTAGAATGCAAAAATTTTAAGAAATCATACATTTTGAATATTAGAGCTTCACGGAAGATAGCTTCACGGAGGTTAGGATAATATTTTTTTAAAATACAATTGTACATAAATAAAATATTTATTAAAAAAATCTACTTACTGAGATATAACACTTCACGGTGGATAGGTTTTTAAATAGCAAATTAATGAACTTAAACTTTTGAATTATAAAACAGCAACACTCTCATTTGCATATCAATTCTAACTGACCTTTAGGAATCACATGCATCTATAATGTCGTAAACAGAGGTTTTTGCTTATCCGTTGCATAAAATTTAAAGCAAAAACAGATTTACGGAGGATAGAATCAATTTTTGTAACACCTACATAAATGGTTATAAAAATTATTTCTTTTAGTTTTTAATAATATTTTATATTTGATTCGATTGCTTTGGATGTGTATAACTTACTTAGTGAACTGATATTGTTATTAAGCTTTTACTACCTCAGATATAACATATGTATAGGTTAGCCTAGAAAGAGTAACAGTCACGGAGGATAGGTTTTAGACTTTTAAAACATTGTAAAAAATAATTAATTGCGGTTAAAAATCTGGAACCTGAGCTGTAATATCTACTTAATTATGAAAGATCAAAACACAGTAAAAGTGTAGGTCAAACAAATTTAGTTTTATTAAATATCACATCGGGGGACATTGAGAGTAAATACTCATTTTGCATTTTTTAGTCAAATTTTGCAACATTACATATTATTATCGTAAAAGAATAAAAATAAATCCTGGTCACGGCACCAATTTTAGTTCTCTCAATAATTATGAAAAAAGACATGTTTCTTAAATCGGTTATTACCTACCTACCTATATTTACAGGGTCAAAAAAACGGCACATCCGAGCTTTCGAAAGCCTTAAAAAACGGAGTGTGCTTCACAACGCAAACGGCCCTCTACGACAACGCTGAGTCGGTAAAGTCGATGCCTAACGGATACACGACGTCTGAAAGTAGCAGCATAAGGAATCGGGTGTACATCGACAAATCAAAAGCGTAGGCCAGCCGAGAAATTAACTTAATTTATGTAACTTAAACTTGTTATTTTCATATTTTCATCACATTAGTTTTGTAATTTATTATCTATTAGTGGAAATAATGAAAATATACTTTATAGGCCGGTCCAGGGCCGGCGATAATGTTCTTTACTTTTTGTAAACGAGAATTTATTGTGTATCATGTGTATGAATCTCAATTTTGAGACGGTAGGTTATCTATTGTTAATTGCTCACTTGTTAATGTAAATATTTATATATATATACCCTATTTATAAGCATATAATGTACATTTTTATATAAATTTATTTTAAAATTATCTTTTTCTTTTATTTAGCGATAGCAATCTTTTTTCTTTTAATTAATTTGGCTTTGGTGGTGCGTAGATGAGTAAAATCATATAAAAAAGTAGTTAAATATAGGTGACTACGGCCCAGAAGAGACAAAGTATTCCTAGCGGATAATAATCTTCGCTTTGAAAAGAATTTAAATAAAAGAAATTTTATGTGAACACACGAATGTTGTTCAATCATTGGACTCCAATGGTGAATGGGTATTTAGTTAAAGCCACTGGACGTTAATACTTAACGTTTTTGTTTTAACAGTTTTGTTTTTGGTTCACCTCGATATATTTATTTTTGTGGAAAATATGGATTTTTTTAAAAAACATTGCAATTTCTAATATTTTTCCTGTATGAAGAACTAAGGTTGCTATGGTCCATCCATAGCCTATGGAGAATGACAGTGACAGTTTTGTTGAATCATCCCATACATATTATATACAGCTTTCAAAAGCTATCAAATTGTTTTTTGTAAATTAATGTGTTAATTTTGAGGTTTCTTCTTACTTTTAAAAATGTCTCCGACTGATGTTGCCCTTTGTACTTTACTTCTTATGACGTTTAAAACACTTGCCACGTAATACTGGATTAAATTAATAGCTCTGGCAACATCAGTCGGAGACATATCCATTTTTTAATGTAAGAAGACACCTCAAAATTTAAACATTAATTTGTAAAAAAACAATTTGATAGCTTTTGAAAGCCGTGTATGACATGTCCAAGTATGGGATGATTCAACAAAACTGTCACTGTCATTCTCCATAGCCTATGGATGGACCATAGCAACCTTAGTTCTTCATACAGAAAAATATTGGAAATTGCAATGTTTTTAAAAAAAATCCATATTTTCCACAAAAATAAATATATCGAGGTGAACCAAAAACAAAACTGTTAAGAATAGATGTGACTTGATAAATAAAACTTAATTTAGAACAATATATGGTTTTGCCACTCTACAGAGTGTCTTAAACTTATGGTAAAAAACATCTTTTTGTTTAAACCTGTATATTATAAACGTACGTCTATTTTTTAGTATTTTTTTTTAAATGTGAGCGATTGTCCATTAATTTATCTACAATATTCTTTAATATTCGTTTAAATCCGACATCAAATAATAAAGTTATTTGCGATTGAAATTCATCGAAAATTTTTGTGGATCGATTATTTTGCACGTTAGTGTATATTGTAAATTTATACGCCTTGAAAACCAATTAAATTTAAAGTTTTCCTACCTAAAAAAATACGTCACTGTAAATTTATCTTTGCAAAAGATTTTAAGAAAAAAATTGTTTAAGTGAAATACTTAAATTTTTAATATCGATGATTTGGATATGTTGGTTATTTTGATTTCAATTTATTTTAATTTTTTACTGTATTGCGTCAAATTTATTTTTTTCCTTTAATAAAAATTGTGTTGCATTATTTAAATGTTTAAAACAAAATGCAATATTTGTATGGAAATTAAAGAGATACTGCTGCATTTTTTAATACATTTAATCAGATAAACGATAAATATATTTATTTAGCAGTCTGTTAATGCAGTTTTACTGCATGTTTTACTTTGCTATTTTCATTGCCGATATTTATATTTTTATAAAATGAACCTGAAAGTGGTACTCTTGGTGTTTTTTATCTTTAATTTGGCATTGTTGTGCTTATGGTATCAACAACCTTCTCGCACGGCTGAAAAAGTGAAAATCGAACATATAAAAACCAAGCACATTCTTTACTGGCAAAACAAATTTAGTAGCGAGGATTTTTATTTGGGCCTTGGCGAGAAAATTTTCCAGCACTGCGAAGTGAGAAACTGTATGACCACCAACAACAAAAAGCTCATGCCTGTGGAAAATTTCGATGCCATCATATTTCATGGACACGAGTACACTTTCGAAAAGTATGGAAAACCTTACAAAAGATCACCGCATCAATATTACATCAATGCCAATCAAGAACCCGCCATTCTTATGCCGCCAGATAAGTTCGAGAATTTCTTTAACTGGACGATGAGTTACCGGCAAGACTCGGATGTAATCCATGACTACGGGAGGTTTGTGAAAAATTCAACTGGATATGTGTTACCCAATTCTTCCACAATGGCAAGGAAAACAAAAAAAATTGCATGGATGGTCTCGCGATGCATATCGCCTGGTAAAAGAGAAAATATAGTGAGGGAATTACAAAAACATATACCGGTGGACGTTTATGGAAAGTGCGGTAGTAAAAAGTGCGGTTCCTTCTGGGACAGAGAGAAGTGTTACGAAATGGTTCAAGAACAGTACAAGTTTTATCTCTCGTTCGAAAACTCAGTGTGCAAGGATTACGTCACAGAAAAAATGTACCATTTACTACTTAGAAACGTTGTCCCCATTGTTTATGGGGGGGCGGATTACGACAAATTCGCACCACCGAAATCGGTTATAGACATAACAAAATTCCGCAACGTTTCCGAGTTAGGGAAATACTTAAATTACCTGGACAAAAACGTTACGGAATATTTATCGTATTTTGAGTGGAAGAAAAACTATTCTGTTAATGTTCATGCAAGTCGTTTAATGCTTTGTGATTTGTGCAAAAAATTAAACAATCCATTGGAACCGAATAAAGTTTATAAGGATGTTCATCAGTGGTATTATGATGGCATGTGCAAGAATGGTTCCACCTTACCTGATATTACTTTATCTGCTTTAAAAGGCAAGTGATGATTGCAATTAAAACTGTGCAGTCTGGACATAATAGAAAAAATATAACTGACAACATTGTAAAGAGAGTTTTGTATAAGACACTTGGCCTATGCCTGTAAATAAATTTAAAAACTCCATAGAAACCACCTCATAAAACTACTGTCATTTTTCGTCAAAAGTCTTGAAACTTTTTGGAAATTCTAAATCAAAATTATAAGTTAATATGTCTTGCCCGTTTAACGTAACCTACCCCATCCAGTACGTCCCATACGTGATACCAAATTGTGCCGGCCCCGCTTGCCCCCCATGCTGCCCTCCACCGCCCAGCTCTGGACCTACACAAGCCCCACAAAAATATCCACGTGACGTGAGTAAATGATATTAATATAATATTTCTGTTTAACATTTAAAAATGTTTTAGTTTTGTAAAATTTGTCATCCCTAATGTGTTGGTAAGCCCTGTATATTTGTATCCATGCTAACAATCTTTTGTCAAACAACTTTTGTCTTGACGCGACAAGTAATTTTGGTTCGTATTTTATTAAAATTTTCAGTTATTAAAATGGCTGGCGTTTATCCGGGATGTCTACCAAACCCACCTTTGGTGTACCCTTGCTATTACATACCCTATATGGTACCATGCTGTCCAAAACCTTGCTGTCCCCCTTGTTCTATACCTTCCTGCCCAAGTCCTGTATTTTGTCCGCCTTGTCCAACCGTAAGTTCCTTAGTTATTAGTATAATTTTTATTCTCTATCAAAATATTTTTTAGTGTTGAATGTGGTTTGAAATGTATATTTATTATCTGATGCAGATGTGTTTGTAAGGGACAAATAAAGAAGTTTAAACTTACCTGCTTTTTATTTTTATTACTTACCTGTAAAATGTAGTGGTCAGCACAATCCAGCTATCTCCTTGATTATTTATTTTGAGTATGAGTATAAGAGACTTATAACCAGCCCCATTGTCTCATCACTATTATGCTTTTTTTACTATGTTAGGGTTATAATGATTAATGTGTTAGTTTATTCTGTGTATTGGTCTCGTTTGGGTTTGCCTTAGGCATTTGTTGTTGACAGATTTATTGTCCTACGCAGTGTGTCTTCCTTAGGGTTTTAAAGATCTGTCGTGTTTAATTTGCAGATTATGTGTAAAGTCATGCATATGCTTAAAGTTACCACTTAACTCATTCATCACTTAACACTTCACTCCTCATTGACCGTTGCACCATTTTAGTTTTCACTCTATGAAAATTGTTTGTTTCACTCACAGACCTGTGGTTTCACTATAATTGGTTTGCACATTTTAAAAATTATTGTTGGTTTTAATCTTTAAACTTTTTCGTTTTAAGAGCTCTCGCTCTCGCATGGTGCCTTCTCAAGTGCTGGAACCTGACTGACTTGATTATTTATTTTTATTTTTAATAAAACAAACAAAAACAATAAACAAATTTCTTTATTTAAAATTCATTTACACAGTATTCTGAGATGATAGGATATATGGCCAGAATCGCAAACAAACAAAAGATGTATAATTAAAAATAAAGGCTGGAATAAATTAAATAACAGTGTATAGTTGTAGTACCATAAAATCATAATGAAAGAGGATCACAAAATTAAATGTAAAATATTAATTTCCATCGTTTTTATTATCTACAAATACATTAAACCGCTAGAGGCAGCATACGCCATCAGGGTGTTGGCGGCTTGCTGAGTCTCGAGCAAAATTCTAGTTTCGTTCATCCACTGTCTAGCCACTGAACGTGGGGCACCTTTTAGCAAATTCATGTATTTTAACGTTTGCTCCAAATCGCCGCGATCCAACCAGTATCTAAAATACCACAGCTCAGTTGGTCATTCAATTATCATTGAGGCAGGGTTAAGGCCCCCACAGAATTAAGTCTGTTCTTTTTTGGTCCGTTCGTTGATTAGATAAATTTATAACATAAATAAAAATTGCGTAAGTAAGAGAGAAATAAAATCAATCCAATATGGCGCCCGCTGTAAGATGGATTGCCTACTTCTTCACGACGTCTTTTATAAAAGAAGTAAGCATTTAAATGTTCTTAAAAATGTTCTAAAACCTATTTGAAATGCCAGAAAAGTCTGAAATTTGTTTGTTAATATCCTAAATAATTTAAATAATAATAATAGTAACCAACATCGGATATTAATAAACAAATGTCAGACTTTTGGGGCAAGTATCGGACTTGTTCGTACCTGGCTCTCTGCAAGATGTCGTTGGTGTCCAGCTTGCTGAAGTCGACCTCGCAATCCTCCAGTTCGGATTGCGGGATGGGGCTGGCGGCCTTCACCAGAAGCACCGACTGAAGATAGGAGAGGATGTGGATGGGGAGGGAGGCGCCCTCTTCGGGCACCAGCGCCATCTTGCGCGCAACCTCTTCCACCTTGAGGAAGCGCTCTCTTATGGCCTCCTCGGGGTACACGCCGCGTTCGGTAGCCTCTTTCGGAATGGCGGCCACCACCGAGCACACCAGCTCGTCGTTGTCGGCTGCAAAGTTATGTTTGTTTTGTGTGGTGCACCGATACACCCTAGCATACTATTATTTCTGTTGTTACCTTTTGTCTGTGTTGTTACCACATCTATTTTCAAAGAATTAGAAAATGACTATCGTATCCACTTAAATTGTGAAAAATTACCCCGAAATAGTCCAGTAAAATGATCATGATCCCTAACACTTTTATCTTTTCCCACAAATATCTATTTTTTTTTCTTAGTACTTTGTACAATAAAAAAAATAAAAGAAATAACTAGAACAATTCTTTGGAAATAGCTGTCAAGAAATTGTGGCGACAACACTGACAAAAGGCAACAACAGAAATAATATTAACGCTTTTCGGAAAGCATTACCTGCCGCCTTTTGGATGGCCTTGATTTCGGGGTTGAGCGGTCTTAATTGGTCCTTCCAAGGCTGTCCTGCGCAGGTGGAACGCAGAGACCTTAAAAGTGCCTGCGCGGCACTCCATAAGACCTGGGCGCGCTTCGCCATGGCGTCGTTGTCAGCTTTAGCTGATGAAAAAAGTTTGTATCATATAATATATCATACAGTATGTCTACATTTCTCAGAAAATTGCATTCTTGCAATTTGCAATTTTGATTTTTCTGAAACGTGTCACATATTTTGGGGGTTTTAAATCCAGCAACAAATTGTATCAAGAATAACATTTTTTAAGAAATGTATAATATTTTGTTTTCCTTTCAGTTACCCAACCCCTGGACATACAGTATATATTAAACAATGTATGTTATGAGATTATATAAGATTTTCTATATAAAAATATTCGCTCAAGTTTTTATTTAATCATAAATATTATAATAACTAACTTACAAAAAACAAATAACAAAGTTTGGATTTCTTTAATTAAGATCTGAAAATCTTAATTGCGCATGCGTAGAACGCATTAATCGAGGTTAACCTTAATTTTCAAACGTGCGCACAATGAAATGGCGCAACAACTTCTAATTAGCCAACTAAATGATTTGTTTTCCACGCCGTGAGCAAAATTTAAAAGAAATCACGTCGTGAGGTAAACTGAGAAGATAAGTACTTAGGTATGCTATGCAGGAGTAGTTAAGTACTTGTTTTATGTATTAATAAAGTACAATTTGGGACAATTTGTATTTGTATAGTAAAAAAAAACATTAAATACCTGCTTCAAATTCTTCATCCACTTTGATGATTGAAAGCACATAAAACAAATAATTATTAAGCATGATGTGTTAGCTGGCTGGAAAATACTTTAATACACATGCAAAATTATACTTTTTTTACCACCACCATAAACATACTAAAATCGGAAACTATTTTTTGTATGATAAGTGACAACTAGTGTTTCAAAGATGGGTGTAGCAAAACTATGTAACTTACCTTTGATGGCGTGGTCGAGGCCGCGAAGTCTGCCAATCATGGTGGCCAACTGGTACTTGTATCGGCACTTTTCGTTCTCCAACTTCTCGTCGAACACCCTCGAGAGATCCCGTTCGATTTCGGCCGCCCTGGCTTCGATAGCCTCCTTCAGGTGGTCGCTGAAAGCCTGCGACTGGATCTTGAGCTGCTCGCGCATGTCGCACTCCATCTCCTTCTTCATCTTGAGGCACTGCAGCGGAAAAGATACCTAGTACTCTTCCCTAACACCGAATGGGCTCGAGTTCGAATGGGGTAGTTAAGTTTTTTCTGACTATACTTTTTATGGTTTTATTCAAGGCGTTTTGTAATTTTAAACATTTCCGTGAAATCGGAATTTCAATTGAGTTTACCGTTTTCGAGATATTTACAAAAAAAATCTCCTAATTACGTCACTAGGCTATTGACAACGTTGCCAGCTTTTTCTATGGTTGCCAGTGTGTTTAGTTTAAGATTCTTACGATAGATGGCGCCACGTTATAATATTTTAGTTTTAAAACCACTTGATCTATAATTTTAGTTGAGGAGAAGAAGAAGAAGAATTGATTTTTTGACGTTTCTTTTTTTTGGGTTATGTTTTTTTTAAATTTAGATTATTGAAAATCAATATTATTTGTAATTGATATTAGATAAGTGATTTATTAATAACGGACTCCAAAGCAAAGGAATCTTGTGGAATGGTTGGTTACATTGAACATTGGAGCTTTTAAACAAATAAAGTAAGTGCCTATAATTATAATCATATTTTGTCGTAAATGCATTTCATTAGTATAATGCCTAGTTCTTTATATTCTTTTAGATATATCTTGGACTCTAAAATATCAAACAGTAATATGATACCTCGTAATAAGGAAGATAGGTACTTAATGAATTTGGTGACCATCTTTCACTCAACTGACAGTTAGAGTATTTGTACATAACCTCTTCGGGTATTTTCTGACATAACCGAATGAAATCATTAACAAGACAACTTGACAACAGGGTAATTTTCAACCAATAGAAATCTTAGAATGTTGGTCACATGGCGAGGTTTGTGACGTCATAAAAATTTATATTTTTCGTAAATATCTCGAAAACGGTAAACTCAATTGAAATTCCGATTTCGCAGAAATGTTTAATATTACAAAACGCCTTGAATGAAACCATAAAAAGTGTAGGTCAGAAAAAATTTAACTACCCCATTGAACGCCTCGTATCCGACTTACCTGTTGCTGAAAGCACACCGCCAACTTCCTCTTCTCCTGCTGGATGGCCTCGCAGACCTGCGCGTCTGTCAAAACTTCGCCGCCGCCTTTGCGCACCGAGTCCACGGCCCTTTGGACCTTGTCGTGGATGACGGTCTCCAACTTGGCCAGCTCTTTCTGATAGTAGAGCACGTTGGCGTAAGTATGCAAGACGAAAAGATCTACGTCTTCCGGGTTGATGTGCACCTGCTTGCTGCCCAAGTCGATGGTGGGAAAGAGGGTTTCGAGCTCGTGAGAAAAGTGCTTTCTCGCCGCCTCCACCTTCTCCCAGTACTTCTCCGTCACGCTGCCCAACTTTTTCTCGTTCTCCAACGTTTTTTTCGCGTTCGCTATGTCTTCCTGAACCTTGGCCAGGTTGGCGCGCACTATTTCCTTCGTGGCTTCCGAAGCTTTGTAGCTGGGTTTCGATAGCAAGCATTTGAGCTCGTTGATGACTTTCGAAGCCTCTTCGGCTTTGCTTTCGGCACTCTTGATGCAATCTTGCTTGTATCTAGAATAGGGTGACAAATCCAAAAAGTCGTTTTATGCCGTTTTAGTGTTTATTAGATCATAGTTTGAAGATTAAAGTTTTGCACTTTAATGATGTTTAAACAGAAAGTTGCAAAGTTAAATTGATAGTCAACAAAATATTTTAAATATAAAATACAACTTTAAGCTTAAAAATATTGATTTTTAAAAATTTTTCTTTAAATATTTTATTCTACAAAATTTTCGGTTTAAATTTGTAAAGAGTTTAAAATCGTTAAAATAATAGTTATTTTATATTAAATTTTATCCGAAATCACTAATAATTAATATTGATGATTAAATCATTTGAGGATCAAATCAAATGTCAATTGAATGTAGGAGTGTCTATGTATACGGTTATTATATATTTGCCCGCCGCGGCGATTTTTAATCTAATTAATAAAATTAACTTATTATTTTTATTAAACATTTTATGAAAGTGTCCAATCGACCTCCACGACGGTACTTTTTTTTAAATATTATTTAGTTGCAGCTGAGGAGTAGTAGACACATCTTAAAATGTATAATGGGTTGCATACAATACTCGTATTAAATCGGCAGTAAAGTTCTACTTTACTGCCGATTTATTTTACTTTACTGCCGATTTCGGATAAAAATTATTAATTTTAATTTCTCAAGACTTATTTAAATAATTATTATAAAAGTCGATACATTTTAATCAAAAAATTACAACTTTAAAATTTTAAACTAACATTTAAATATAATTTGAATAAAAAAATTTTCGACTTTCATTTAAATGACTCTTTACAAATTTAAACCAATAATTTTGTAAACTACAATATTAAAACTACAACTTTTAAAAACCATTATTTTAAACTTAAACTTTTACATTTGTATTTCATATTTAAAATTTTTTTGATCATCAATTGTTTTGAGATTAAAAAAACTTAAACCTTAAAAACTATTTTGGTAGAAATGTCTCGAAAATACTAAAAAATTTAACTTTACCAATTTATTAAAAATAATTTTATAACAAATTAATGTAGAAAATATTTTTATTAAAAAATGATAGTTTGAAATTATTGCCAAAATTGATTAATAATAATATTGTTTAATACAGTGAAATGTTAGTAAATTTTGTCTTTCAATAAATGATAGTAGAAAATATTTTAAATTTATAAATGCAAGCCTAAAATTTTTAGTTAGGAAAATTTTAAAACAATAAAATTTTAAATTAAAAAATAGGACTTCATAGTTTTTGCGAAAAATATTGATTTTATAACACGATTTTTCTCCCATAAAACGAAATCACGTGATTTAAATTTTTTTTACAGCCATTCTTATTATTTTAAAATATAGGTACAGATTTTGAATTCTCTATTTTTTCCTTAAATATTGTATGTTTTGAATACTAATTTTTTTAAATAATTTTTTTTTTAATTTTTTGATTTTTTTTAATAAAACAATTTTAATTTGTATTTATCTTATATTCAGTAATTTTTTTCGTTAAAATTTGACAAATGCGCCTCAACCAAAAATAGCCTATAACTTATGGGATTTGTTGAAAAATGTTGAAGAATTGACATGGAATCTTTTAAACAATGTTTTAAGATTGTACTTAAAAAAAAATGACGCGATCTATTTTCAAAATACCTATATAAGAATTTTTCATGGGAGGGAAAAATCAAATTTTGTCTACTGTGTAATATAAGTATTTTGGATTAATTTTTACCATCTTTTTTAATTTCAATTTTATCGTAAAAATTTGTTTTCATCTGTATCCATTTGAATCTTTCTTCAAAGAGAAATATAAAAAGTGCGCATGCGTAGATAAAATTATTATGAAATATTCATACTATTTTTTTTAGTGATATAGTGATAATTTATTTACCTTGATTTCTCTTTGATGTTATCCCAGACATCGGGTTTGATTTTGTCGACTGCCTCGTCGATAACGTACGCGATTTCTTGATTGTATTTCTTTAAATTGTAGGTAGCGCGGTTGTAGGCATTTACAGCTTCCGTTGCGCTCTCGCATATTTTTCTCTCCAAATCTTCGATACCTTCTTCTCTAACCTCAGGCTTTACATCGCCAACTATAAAATTAATTTTGACGTCATTTTGTTCACAGAAATGTTTCGTTTTAACTGGATAAGTTATCAGATGCAGAGCATTGTTGTCAGATGTAAAGTAGTGACTCAAAATGTGCAAACTTATCGTAATAAATATTCAGCATTCAATAACTTAATCCAGTTAAAAACTGAGTAAGCGTAAGAAAAAGGGGCGTGTACCGATTTCCACATTCGGCTCCGATTTGCCTTTCTCTTTTGTTTCGAGCCTGATTTCAGTGTAACTTGATTCCTGCTTTTGAGGCTTCTCCAAAGATGGCGTTATAGGCGGCGGGGCTGACGCAAAACATTAAACCCAGTTAGTTTGTTAGTAAATAAAAAAATTATTATTAACTTGTTTAAAAAATCACAAAATTTTTAGGTTAGAAATTTTGACAGCTGTCAAATATGACGTTTGAGTAAAATGTTAAAGAAATTTTTTGTATTGGACTCAGTGTTGCCAGATCTCCTGTTTTAACAGGAGATCTCCTGTTTTCACTCTCGAACTCCTGTTCTACTGTTTTCACTATGAGATCTACTGTTTTTAACCTCAGTGTCTATTTTTCTGCTTTTCTACGAACATACCTTGTGGTTTGGCTAATATTTCAAATTTCAGCGTCGACGGTCCGTATGAACGGTGAATAGCATTGATTTAAATTTGCGCGGTTTTTCGTTCGTTTTGGTTCGGTTCGTTCGACTTCCTTTGAATTACGATCCCTAACCGTTCTATATATTCTGTTACTCAGTTTATGTACACAATCAACGATTCGCGTTTATATGTTATTATTTATGTTATTATATTTTTTTATATTTCTCAGCACACAAAATGTCCAGCGGACGTCCCATGGACGTCATGCGAACATTGGACCTTCAGAGGACATCCATTGGACGTCCCCGGGATATTTGTGTTATATGGGTTTGTGCGTGTACTTGTGTTCCTCTATAAAAAAATATATTTTTTTAAATCTCCTGTTGAAAAAAGTGATCTCCTGTTTTTTTGGCTACTTTCCTACTGTTGACAAGAATTTCCATCTGGCAACACTGATTGGACTACACTCCTAAATTAAAAAACACCCAGAATAATTTATTAACTCACCTTTATACTCTTTGGGTTTAGGAATAGCAGATGGTATATCTTTGGTCTCTGAAAAAGTAACAGAAGACACAACAGTATCTTTTAAAGAATTATAAGACTCGGACAAAGCATCCAAGGGGCTTTGTTCGAAGAAAATGTACTTGATTAAAGTATCGGTGAAAGGGGCATATTCAGCTAAATCATTCCTAAAATTATCATCATACTTGGCATACCCCAATGTAGCGCCACCCACTAATACAGTGCTTAACATCAGTTTTGATATCATCCCCATCTTTTTGGGGGGTGGCTTTGGTGGAGGGGGGCATATTTCACTCAATAGTCTTTTCGAATTGGTTAATTTTGGTTGTTTATTGCTGAAGTATCGGAGGTATAGTTTTGCCTGATTTTCTTCCTCTGATTTCTGAAAAAAACATGTTTTTTTACACTTGGAATATATATAAAAATAATTAAAATTCAATTAATGCAACATTTAATGTAAATTAATAGCCTGTTTCTATAGAAAATTATCTTTATAGAAAGCAATAAGCCAATCAGAGAACGGCATTCTTCACAGCCCACTAGGTGCGATAGAGAATGCCGTTCTCTGATTGGTTTATTGCTTTCTATATACCTGGAGTTTCTATAAAAAGCAAAGTTGAAAATTTCAAGAAAACCTTGCTGGGGCTTAAAATATGAGACAATTATTTTAAATAGTAGTTTTATTAATAACCGATGACGCTAAGTAAGATCGCTATAATAATATAAAAATTGCAAGATGACATAACATGGTAAAGACAGGTTAACTTTTAATTGTAAATTTAGATGAAAACTTACCCATGGTGCTTTTTTGGCTAGGACCCCTCTGTTAATCAACCTTAGCATTTTAAGTTACAGTTACAAATAAGTTGGACAAAACTCGCAAATTTTAAAAACGTTCGGCAGTCATCAAGGTGTTTTGACGTGATGTTCAGAGTTCTGCTTGGAAGTGAGTATTTTTACAGTTTTCGCTTACGGGAATTTGTTTTGCGCTTCCTAAAGTCTCAGGCTTATGTTGATAGTTTTATGGAGTGAAAGTAATCGTTATTTTTGACAAAATTGAAAGAAATCTCGTATAACTTTTGTTTTACAAAAAGGTTTTGAGGTTACGTTGGATTACTTTTCTCAAGTTGCCACCCTGTAAAAATCACTAAAATATGCATCACCTATCCCTCTCCCTCTCATTGAAAATCGATACCTCGCGCACTTGTTGCCAACATTGTAAAACTGAAAAACCCCAATAATTAAATTTTTGTTTTAGCTGCTACAAAATTCGGTTTTTCGGCCGTAATACCGAAACCCACACTAATTTTACAAAATGTAGCGAAAGTGGGACACCTAAAACCCCAAAACACACGAAACTTTTCATCCCTGCTGCTCAGTACAACCCCCAAACCATCACTATTGTGTGACCCAGCTGTGTCGAGCATAGCAAATAACATCATATCACGAAATGTAACGAAGTTTTCGCTGCGAAAAGGCAAAAGGAAGTCGGTAAAAGTGGTGCTGAGAAAATTCTACAGGTTAGACTGGGGCGGATGGATCAGGACAAAGTGTGGGAGAAACAAGAAGTTGTGGAAGAAAACATCGGCAAGAAAACGCAGATTAAGGCAACACGTGTTCTGTAATGCCACGCAAAGTAAACTTTTAGATAAAATGGTGGGGCCTTACTGGAGGAAGCCCAAATACTACGTAGAAGATCCATATAACCCGTATCACAATAGGGAGGAATTCTTGTATACGGCTAAAAAACCAAGACCATTTTTCCCCCCAGAAGCTTAATTTTTAGGTAGGTTGTAAATAATTAATAAAATAAATGTTTATATAATGCGGTTTTTTATTGTGTTAAGTAACAAAATAAATATAGAAAACAAGTTTTATTTTAACAGATTTGTGTATAAAATTATAATTATTTAAAAATGCACATTTATTTACAAGCAGTAGCAAAATTTAATGCAAAGTTGGCCATCATGAAAATTTACGGTTGGTTGCCTGTTTATTTTGACATTTGACAGTTTGCAACTATTTTCAAATTAACAGATGGGTGTTTATAAATTTCGTATTAATATTCTTATAGAGAAACCAATGCATATTCTATTCTTTAATTAAAAAGAGGTAAGTAATTATATTGTTTAATAATTCTTGTTAAATTCCAAAGTTATACCTATCTTTAACAATGGCTTATTTCAAGAAAATGTACTTATATAAAAAATGTAAAAATAACTTTTATAGTCGATAAATTCTCGATAGCGTGACGTCACGATGTTATAACACCTAATAAATATCATAAATGGTATGTCATGACATCTTGCCAGTGAATTCCAAACTTAACCAAATTCTTTGACAGTATATGTAATCTTTTTACTTTTTATAAAACCATTAGCGGTATTTTAGTATAAAGTTCATAAACATATTTTTAAAACTTGAAATTTGCACCTCTTTTATGTACTTTACCTCGATTTTCAAACGATTTAAATACTTTGAAGAATATTAAACCTAACCTAGAAACCACGGTTCATTCGCAATTCTTGACACATCTGTTGTATGCATAGATTCCGAATATGCAATACAAAATTTTCCAACCCCAGGAGTTGTTTTGCATTAAATTTTAAAAGTGTTTAAAGTGTATAATGAAGTATAAAAGTTTTAAGTCTTATGCAATAACATTCCTGAGTTTTCCAATACCTTCAATTTCACTTTCAAGAACATCCCCTTTTTTCAAAAACTCTGGGGGATTCCTGTGCATCCCCACTCCAGCAGGGGTGCCAGTAAGTAAAACGTCTCCAGGGTATAAAGTCACAATCCTAGAAAAATAATAAGTATAATAATTTTTTTTTAACAATAAACAAACATTTACTTACTCTGACAAATAAGAGACCAGAAAATCGACTTTAAAAATCAACTCGGAAGTATTTCCGTCCTGTTTAAGTTTACCGTTCACCCACGACTTGATTTTCAAATTGTTGGGGTCCACCTTGTTTTTGGTCACGACCACCGGTCCCAATGGGCAAAAGGTGTCCATTGTTTTGCCCAGCAAGAATTGTCCGTTGTTTCTGGATTTTTGCCAATCTCTAGCGCTTATGTCTTGCGCAATGGTGTATCCGAAAATGTAATCGTTGACTTGGTCGCGTCTTATGTTTTTGGCTTTTTTGCCTATGATTACAGCCAATTCCACTTCCCAATCTACCATCTGTAAATTATTATTTTGGATATTATACTTTTTCAAATAATAGTTATTTATGTCATTAGGTTAAGAAGTAAGGCTTTTTGTGCAAAAAGGCACTTTATATAGGTCAATTTAATTCAACATCAAAGCGGCCTAACCTCACTTTTTTAGAATCTCATTTATTTATTAGCTAAAGATTACATTAAATGTACAATAATTATAATTGCTTTTAGAAGCAGTAATAGTTTGACAATACCTAGCAACATGATTTAAGTAGAAATGGATTTTTGCTATAACATTGAATTCAATTAATTGTTTAATAAATGGGTAGGTATCTAATTTCAATTTGTTTGTATTTTTATTAAAAAATTAGGTAGTTTGAAATGTTTAAGCTGTGTTAAACATTTAATTTCACTAAAAACTTAAAGCAAATTAAAACTTAAAGATAATTTCAATCGCAGAAAAAGAATCGTGCGTTTTCTTGGTTGCCTAACCTCACTTTTTGTTTTATTATTCATATTTAATTTTACAATAATTTAATGAAAAATATTAAACATTAACAGTAAAACAAACAAATTAGTGCTTATTATAAATAAATTAAACCAGTTTAGTAATTTAATTTCTTAGAAAAGGATGAATTTGTCAAAACAATACCCCTAGCGAGAAAAAATCGAACTAATTACTTGCCTCATAAAATTTTTTATCGGCCTAGGCCATAACAAGGTATTTCTTTATCGAATGTTGACAACAATAAAGTTAAAATTATAGACCGCGTGGAGATAAAATCATTTTTTATTTACTTACACTTGAAATAGAAGGTAGTACGACATTATCATAGGGTCCTACTATGCTGGAAGCCCATTTACTGAATATCATTGGCTCCTTTGGGTATGGGACATTTTGCTCATCGCAGTGACCACTGTAATTTAGACCAACGCACGCTACTTTGTTTGGTTTAAGTACTGGTGCCAAAAGATTGACTTCATTAAGTGATACTAGGGATTTTCCTGCTGCTACCACCCTTAAAAAATTAAAAATAATATTTGTATCCGAAATCGGCAGTAAACTAGTAAACAATCAGCAGTAAAGTAGAACTTTACTGCCGATTTAATACGAGTATTGTATGCAACCCATTATACATTTTAATATGTGTCTCCTGCTGCTCAGCAAATAATATTTAAAGTCATTTTTTATCGCTCACGAGGTTATTTGCATCGGCTTTCGCCTCGGCAAATAATTTCCACATTCGTGATAAAAAATACGACTTTCTGCCTTAATACATAAATAACAATTTTTTCTTAATTTGGTATTGGCGACTTGAAATTTGAAAACTACTTTAGAAAAATGGCTTTAGTGTGTAATCTGGACATCCTACTTAATTATTAAATTTATTTGTATTTTAAATCTTATTATTTATATCTTTATACCTACCATCTAATGCATTAATAATAAACTGGGTTACCAAACAACTTTTTATTTAAAACCAGCATGCCAAAAGTTGCTTTTACTCCGTACAAATTATTTATTATACCTACTTGCATGTCAAATACTATTAGGTACAGTTCTAACCACTTAAGTTTGTATAAAAGTATTATTATTATACAAATTGTACAATTTGTAATTGGTGGTTTCAAGATTAAATTATTTAAGTGGTTACGTAAATAAACTAGCAATTGTTTACTTTACTTTTGTATTATATTTGCAAAAAACAATTTTTAATACCTACCTTTTTAGTTATCATAATGTTTATAATACCTATGCAGCTACATTTAATTTAGCCTGAACCTTTATATAATATTTTTTATTTTAAAATAGAAATATATCAAACTAATAACAAAATAAATTAAAAAAACTAAATTGCGACCTTCAAAAGAAAGCTCATAAAAATTCCAGACGTCGGCGCCTGGAATAAATTTGTATTATGTGTCTGCTCACCTTTTCGCCTTTTCGTATAAAGGTACACCCCCTTCCAAAAATTTGACCATGGAATTGGGGATGGAGGAGTCGATTGAACTTAAGTGAAAAATATCCCCATCTGTGGCAATCTGTGCCCCCAATTGCTGCGGGCCCCCCGATTTCAACGTGAACTGCACCAACCTCATGTTTTTCTTGCTTGAAACGCTGAATTTTCTGTCGATGGCACGAGGACTTTTGGCGAATAATTTCAAACTACTTAATAACTTGAGAGACGTAGACATGATTATTTGAGTTGAGTGCGGTCGTATAGATAAAGTGTTTGTTTGTTTATATCGGCTCAGAGGTAGAAATACGTCCTCTCGCTACCTTCACCCAATCACAAATGGGCCTGTAAACCGGTTTACCGGATTCCTCTATAACCACCAAAAATTCATACATTTTTTATTTCTTTTTATTGGTGCTGGGTATATGCACGCAATTCATATCATAGCGTGCCACTTACATAATTATTTATAATGAGCTGGATAAATAACAATGTTTATTTTATCTATCCTTGAAAACATGTGTTTTACACTTTAATTACCGACATTTTTGATAGATGGCGCCCTTTACTTAGAGATGCTACAACTATCACGCAATAGATGGCGCTATATTAAAGTAGGTGTCTGTAATATTGGCGGTTAACTTTTTAATACCACTGGAATATGCAACTTGCAGTTTTCTATAATATAGGGTATTATTTTGTCACCCTTAGGTGGCAGTGAATGTATTGTTATAAATTTATTATTGAAACATTAGATAACTTACAAGAAATATTGTATTAACTTATCTGTATAATCTTAATTTGCGTATGGTAATAAAAGCATACTAAACCCAAATAAATAACCCCTATTCAGATGATCATCTTAATTATAATAGTTCCTTTGAAATTAAAGAAAAAAACAACGCAATAAAACATCCCAATTACTTTATCTGACTAGTTTCTTAGTCAGGTAGCCCTAGAACGATTTAGTTAGTGGAAAACAAGCCTTTAAAACGGCTTAGGAGGGAGAGAGTTAAAGACATTATTACGGTGTCTGCTGCGTTTTTGTTTGAGGCCTGTCATACACAAATAAGCCAGTTACCGTCATCAGATAAGAACAACTTTTATGACGATTCATAAGGACGTATCTACCCTTTTAAAATTGACGTGATGTTAGCTTTTTGTTAGGTATACGAGACGTTGTTTAGTTTTGACAAATTAAATGTTTATTTTTGCATATTTTCTTCTTCTAAATACCTACATCATTCCTCCGCACAATTCCGCGCGCGCGTGTTATAAAACCTTAATAAGTTTTGTTTAAATAAAATTAATGTAAAAATTAGTTTGATGGGGGTACTGTCTTAATGTGAGTCGGCTCTGCCCTGTTAACTTGTCATTTTCGTGTTATTGATAGGTTCTTGAGTTGGATAACTGTCGATGGTATCGGAAGCCTTTTGTTTCGACAATCAATTATCTAGAAACTTGACTGCGGCATTTTAATTTAATTAGGGTTATATTATGTGACGCATTTCTTTTCTCTTTCAATATACTAACCAACCGATTGTATCTTTTTCGTATTCCTTTTGGATTTTTAGTGTTTGGTTAATGGTTCTGACAAGCATAAAGACTCGTTTAAATCGTAATTGTAAATGAAGGGGAAGAAGAAATATTTGTTAAATTGATGATGGGGTTATGTTGAATGTCTTACCAAAATATTTTTGTCAATTAATTTTATTTTGTAAAATTTTAGAAAATCAGGGTTTATAATTATTTTATGTTTTACCGAAAGTTTTGTAAAGGTAATAGGCAATATTTTAACCATTTTGTTAATTTCAAAGGTTACAAATTATTTCGTTAATATACACTCACAGGCAAAATAATCGATCCACACAAATTTTCGATGAATTTCAATCGCAAATAACTTTTTTATTCGATTTCGGATTTAAACAAATATTAAAGAATATTGTAGATACATTAATGGAGAATCGCTCACATTTTAAAAATTACTAAAAAATAGACGTACGTTTAAAATATACAGGTTTAAACAAAAAGATGTTTGCAAATATGAGGCTTTTAGCGGCGTGCAAATGAGAATAGACCGTGTTTACGTATGTATTGGGTGTGCAGTTGATAGCAAACGCAACACCTCATATTTCAACTTTAATTGTAGCCACTTGATAAAAAATAAAAAATAGCTGACGGCATCATTTATCGTTTAATTGGTGCCAACAGAGTAAACGGGATGTTTGATACTTTTGAGCGTTATGCAAATAAGAGGTAAAAAAGAAAATTGGTCTACACGAAAACAAGGCGAGTAACTTACATTATCTTGGGAAAATTAAAGTAATTGAGATAATTTAATATTTAAATTATTTAAATTAATACGCATGTCAATCAGTTTTTTACGAGTTTTATAACAGCGGCCTTATTTGCATACCATTATAGGCAATATTTAACGGGTAATTGGGTTTAATGTGTTTTCGAATATGCAAAATTATACTTAATAATTTTCTTTCGCTCCTCGTTTTTTTCAGACAGCATTTCATATTCTTAAACGGACCACTTTGCGATGCCTTAATGGCAACGCCATTATCAAACTCGTTCGAACGTTTACATTGCCAAAATGCCAATTACATGTCATTTTTTAAATTTAAATTAATGCCCTAATCACGAACATAATTTTTGAACAGAAATATCCACTTTCAATGTTTTGAATCAAAGTGATTATTTTTTTCAGTGTAACAAAATGTTGTATATTATATGAGTTCTTATTAATAAGGCCCTAGCAGGAGTTGCACTTTAACAACATCAACTGAATGTATCCTCACATGTGTTCATCGCGTTTTTAATCGCGTCTAAACAGAGGTAACAGGTAAATTTTTTATCTCTCGAGGCGCGTTCGGAATTAAATGTCCATTAAATCGTATGAAGTCATAAGAAATTACAGCAATTTATACTCAATTATGTGCAAATGGTTCTTCAAATATCGCTGAACGAATTTTAAATTGTTCAAGGGTTTGTTTTTTTTAAACGAACTTGTATAAAATGAAATTCTGTGTTAGGATTTGATCAACTATTTTCACTTATAAAATTATGAAAGCTTTATAATTTGAGCTCATAAATATTGTCTAAAATAATTTGCGAAAGCTGAGATTTGCGTTTCCCCGTCGAAATAACGATTTCCTCGCCTTTTAATGCACCTACACTTTTAATGCCATTAAAACATCACTTAAATATGATTGATCAATTTTGGCACATCGTAATAGCCGTTGCCATTGTAAAAATGCGGAAGAACGCTAGTGGTTGGTAATAAATTTTGATTTATCTGCGTTCAAAGGCAAATTATAATATTTTAGTGAGCGTTAAGGCCTTGTTTTATCATCATTTGTGGTCATTTATATCATATATGCAATTTACATAATTTTGCTAAATTGAAGGATGTGCAGTCGATAAAAGAAATTAGGAATCAATTGCTTTTGCGATTTACTATTAGCAGACAAAAATAATGAAAAACCCAAAACAATATTTTTTTAATCTATCAATCATTATTATTATACCAAAACAATGTACCTAAACCTAATTAATCATTTTGATGGTAAGCAAATTTATTTAGTTTTTTATGATAGTCATATCTTCATACTAAATCATTTTTGATTTAATGCAGCAGTTAATTAATTTTGGAGATTTTATCCGTTAAAAATGATCGGTTTGCAATAGGTTAAACGTATCGGGTTACTAACTTAATAAATGCGCAAATTTTCGCTTTCATTAATTTCGACCCATTAATTTTTAAATTGATCATGGAACCAAAATTTTATGGCGGTTGTCAATCAATCAATCATACACTAAAAAAGGTGCCCTTAAACTAAATTAGCCAACTCTCTTGATAAAAATTAACGAGTGTATAGAAAAGTTTATAAACGAAGTGCATACTATAGTATAGTATAGTATATACTTTTTCTACGACAAATACTTATTATTATCTTAAAATGATTTAAATCAAAAATTTGTATAGAGCGCCATCTATGAAACAATAGGGGAATCTGTGTCACCGTCAAATGTCAAATTTTTATATTTTATAAACACAATTATAAAGGTTATAAATCGAAATGCATTTCTTGAAAATTGACAGTTTTTCACAGTGAAAGTAAAGAAAATGTTTTATGAGCACTTTACTGTGGAGTCCGTGCCCGAATTTAAGTTATAGTTTACTGCCGGCGAAATTAAAAGGTCAGTACAATGTTCATATAAACTTTTCAAATATTGGCGTTGAGAAACTATTTAATACTTTTGTATTTTCGTATTGAGATAATAAAATAATTTTCACATTTAGTATTATTTTACAAGAAAGGCAATTTATTTTAACGATTGCATGACATTTGACAACTGTCAACTAACTTAAAACTAACTTCAGCCCGTGACTAAAGCGCCACAAAGCCACAACTTGTCAATGTGTATTTAAAAATTTTCTTTTTTAGAAAGTTCCTAAGCTTTTCAATTAAGAGTTGCAGTTTTCTTGTTAAAATACCATTTTTTTGCGCTAAAACCGTTTTCTTCATTCATTAAAGATAGTTTCAGTGTGGCCATTTGTTTTTATAATGTTTAATTATATCAAATTGTATGTTATAAAATAATTCAATGTTCATCGTGCCTGTATGATTTAATATTCAAAATAAAGTGCATATTGTGGTTAAATTATGTTGACAAAAGTAATGCATATTAAAAGTAATTTTGCAATTAAGTAGGTGTGTTAAAGCAGCCAAGCCACTACACCCTATTGATTACAATGATTACCCATTAAAATTCTTAATCGAACGAATTAAAGTCATCTCGTATACGCTGACAAATAGAAGCAATTAGAACCTAATTCCACGATCCAATCATAAATAAGGAATTTAATGAAAATTGAAAACCATTTAATAAATGAAATATTGAATGGTACACGCGTGTAACTGCTATAATCCGCGTGTACTTTATTATTGGATAAACGAATTTATTAATTGATTGTGCAGAAGACTGCGTTCCACGTAATTATTTAATAATGTTACCAAGCCATCAATTTAGCACCATTTCAACTTGTAAAGCTAAATTAAAACCCTTTCGGTTTATTAGATTTTTAATTGAACCTATCAAGTAGAGCAGAAACTCAACGCCCTTATTTACTAGTTTCAGTTTTCTACATAACCTGTGTTTTTGTTATAAAATTTAAATTCAATTTGCCAGATTTTTGTCGTCCCAATAAACAATTTGTACTATGTA